TCTGCATGACGTATATGTGAATGGAGTCTGGTAGATTCAAGCCACACTCCCAGTGTGTGGCCTGATCTCCCCTCTTTTTCTTTGGGCTTAGTCCCCCGACTCTAGAAAAGCAAGGGAAACCAATAAAGCCAAGTATAGTTAAAGCACCACTGTAAGGTCACCAACCAACTGCAATGGTTTCTAGCTTCTAACTCTTTTAGTTTTATTTTTTTCCCCCAAGTCAGGAAGATGCATTCTGGTCCCCAGAGCCTGGCTGTCTGCTTCATTAAGCTGGTGATGGCCGTCAGCCATTATTACTATAGCCATGGTTGTTATCTACCGTGCACAACTTTCAGCAGGATGAATCTAAGGCAATTAATAATTTTTGTTAACTTACAAAAACTCTTGAATAGCTAGAAGGAAAATTTCCAAGGAATAAACAGTGAAATATATATATTTTAAATATATATATATTAAACCTATGCTTATTTAAGAAAATATGAATGGAGAGAGGGAGAGAGGAAGGGAGGGATAGAGGGAGGAAGAGAGAGAGGGAGAAAGAGAGAGGAGAAGAGGAAAGGGAGGGATAGAAGGAGGAAGAGAGAGAAGGGGTGAGAGGAGAGGGAGGAAGAGAGAAGGATACTGTTCCCGGTGCTTCAGTCCACACTCTGCCTTAGCCTCCACCCCTTGGCAATTGTGCAAGAGAAGCAGTCCTTAGGAAATGCTTGCTGTTGTTCCTTGATGTTCCTTCGTTGGTGTTGAAGCCAACTGTTACTTGTACAAACACTTCTGGGTGCCGTGGTACTCACCTGCACTTGGATGCTCCACCACTGCTTCTGGGGTCCAGAGTCCGGCCTTCACGAAGCCTCTCTTCTCCAGTGTGATGAGAAAGCTGCCGTCCCCAACCACCACCTCCCCGCTGTCCAGACGCTCCAAAATGCCCTGGGAAAGAGACCCGAGACTCAGCAGGCTCTCTCTGTGCCCTGCTTTTCCTTCTAAAGTCATTTCCAATTTTAGACATGTGGATTTTGTGTTCTTCAGAATTTTAGTTCTGCTAAAATTATGTCTAAGAGTGTTTCAGAAGACACTACAGCATGATTCCTGGCCAATCTAAATACCTATTTTGTGCAGTTAGGGAGCTATAGATACTTTTTTTTCTCTCGATTGGCAGTTTCTGGACCAAACTATACTGAAAGCACGGATTAACCTGATAGTCATTTTAGTTTTTGTTTGTTTGTTTGTTTTGTCTTCGCTACTAATATACTAAAGGATGGGGGCACAATATCTTCAACTTAAACAAGCCCCCAAACTTGCAGTCTTCATGGCTGCTGGGCATGTCCTTGTCACAGCCCTAGCCAGCAGGACAGGTAGAAGCCATCTTTCCCGTTCTGACTGGAGTGGCATTATGTCACCGAGGTGTAGAATCATCTTGTAGCCCTGCCACCCTCAGTTGCACTCAGTGTCAGGGGGAGCCAACTGGTAATAAGGTTTTGTAGGATGACCCAGCATAGCCACGGCAGGTATGCGCGACTTACTTTTACATCTAGTTGGGTGAGAGATGCAGATCACCTCCTTGGGTTAGTCAATTTGAGAATCAAATTTAATAAAGCATATCACCCAGTCCTTGAGGGGAAACCGTTACTCCAGGTTTCTCACTTAGGCTCCTTCTTCTCATGTCCAACCTTACAGCTTGTATCTGTGAAGCATTTCATGGCTCCCTCACCCCTATTGCCCCAGCCACTGGATTACTGAATAATCTTAACACACCTCACTGTCCTTCTGTCGGCCATCACCTTTCCTTGTGCCCTGACAACTTCAGCACCTTTGTCCATGTGTGCAGCTGTTCAACAGTATCTGGCCCTTACCTGTCTCACTTTGATGGTAGAAGGTGGGGGGGACAGGTGACATATCTTACTTGTCTATGTTCCTCCTACCTCTACCAGCATCTAATGAAGGAGAGGTTTTCAGTGAACTCTGCCAGCTGAGACAGCAGAGAGACCGAGTGGTTCTGAAAACATCGGAGGCACCACAAGGGGTAGTGACTGTGTCCTGAGAAGCAGAAGCAAAGCCTGGCACACTTCCAGCAAAAATTAGCAGCCTTGGGGGCTGGAGAGATGGCTCAGAGGTTAAGATCACTGCCTGCTCTTCCGAAGGTCCTGAGTTCAATTCCCAGCAACCACGTGGTGGCTCACAACCATCAGTAACGAGATCCAATGCCCTCTTCTGGCCTGCGGATGTACACGCAGGCAGAATACTGTACATATAATAAGTAATAAAGAAAGCATTTAAAAAAATTAGCAAGCTTTAAAAAGAACCATAATGCATATTTTGACTACTGTGTCTTTGTGAGACAGGGTAGAAGGTGAGGCATTTTCTTTCTTTCTTTCTTTCTTTCTTTCTTTCTTTCTTTCTTTCTCTCTCTCTCTCTCTCTCTCTCTCTCTCTCTCTCTTTTGTCCTTTCTTTCTTTTGTTCTTTCTTTCTATTATTATCATTATTATTATTATTTTGTTTTTTCTCTGTGTAACAGCTCTGGCTGTCCTGGAACTCACTCTGTAGACCAGGCTGGCCTCAGACTCACAGAGATCCGTCTGCCTCTGCCTTCCGAGTGTTGGGACCCAAGGCATGCGCCACTCCTCAGCTCATTTTTGTTTCTTATCTGGGAGCTTGTCCAAAGTTTTCTTTAGAAATTTATGTTACCTTTTATGTGTTTTTGTGCATGTGTGCACAAGTGTGCATGTGTGTGCAGTGACCTAAGAGCCCGCAGGGGAGCAGATCCCCTGGAACCAATTACAGGCAGTCGTGAGCTTCCTAACATGGGTACTGGAACTGAGCTCAGGTCCTCTGGAAGAGCAGTCAGGGCCCTTGACTGTTGAACAACCTCCCAAGCCCCCTGCCCAGCATTTTAAAGTCTCCATTTTTCTTTGTCGTCACTATCAGAATAACTGGATTTTGGAAATCTGAAGCCGGAGCAGCCTGTCCCTCCTTGTCTCTCCCCCTCCTCACTTAGTTCTAATCAGGTTAGGTGAGAACCGGGAGAGAATGCTAAGGATGTGACTTCATCTGCAGCAGTCCTGCCTTCTCATTCATCCTCCATCAGACAGTGCACCTGCTGATCTGACGGTGGGGGCCGGGGGTGCCTTTCCATCCCTCTTTTGGAAGATAGCAACCTAAAACCTCTGCATTTACCATCTGGGTTCAGGCTGAGACTGTTGATCCGCAGGGGAGGCCATTCAAAATGCCTAAATTTTGCCCCATCTGCCTGGCTTGGCTTGGGGATGGGGTGGGAAGAGGCAATTCCTGTGGTTTGAGGAATGGGGTGGAGGCACAGGCGGCCTGTGCTTGCCAGCGGAGGAGAGAGAGGTCCCGAGTTATCTCTCAGGAACACATTAACAGGGACCAGCATGTAAATACACTGTTCCAGGAGCAGAGTCCCAGAGGAATGGGCACACAATGTTTTCAAAACTTTAAAAAAAAAAAGGTCAGAGTTTTACCGTGTAGCCCTGGGTAGGGGAAACTCACTATGTAAACTGACCTAACCTCAAACTCAGAGAGCCACCTGCTTCTGCTGCCCGAGTGCTGGGACCACAGACATGTATCACCACACTGGTTCCATAAAAACTTTTTAAAAAGGTGAATAGCCAGGAGCGGCGTGGTGCAGTCTTTAATCCCAGCAAAGGCAGGTTAAGGAAGGCAACACGATGCTCTTCACCTTTAAAAGGAGTCTTTTTGCTTTGGTTTGGTTTTTGGTTTTTCAAGACAGGGACAGCCCTGGCTGTTCTGGAACTTGATTTGTAGTCCAGGCTGGCCTCAAATTCAGAAGAGATCCACTTGCTTCTGCCTCCCGAGTCCTGGAATTAAAGGCGTGCATGTGCCACCACCTCGGGCAAGTCTTTTAAACAATTTCATTTCTTTCCTACATTTCAGTTTTTGTCATTAGAAGAACATCTCTCAGAGAGCTATGAAACCTCGGCTCCACATTTTGCGTGGGATCCTGTCTAGTCTTTTGCCGGTGTGTCTGTAACTATTGCTCAGTTAGGGTGAGTCTATGCTGTGTGAGGTCACCATTGCCCTCAGTTCTTTCTCACTGGGAGCTGTTAATGGCTGACTAGCAATTTAGCAAGGGGTTGAACTTGGACTTCTCTCAATCCCTAGTGCAGGTCACCTCCGACCCCAGTTTCTTAGCATTCCTAAAACAGAGGTGCCCATTTCTTGCTTCCACTGCCCCAGGACTCTGAATGGTGTCCGGGAGGACGGCTCTGGTGGATCCTGGGAGACCCCTCTTCCAAGTTCATGCCTTTCTGGTTGTTGGGCTATTCCTTGCTTCCACAACATGTCTTCAGTGTTGTGGGAATGAAGCCCAAATCTGGTGGCCATGAGAGAAGGGCCAGATGTGGGAATGCCTTCTGAAACAACTGAGAAATACAAGGTGTCCTTGTTTCATACAGGACAGGCATGAAGCTGAGGGGCCTGGTTGATGCGTTTAAGACGAAACCTGAGAGAAACGGACAGAAACTGGGAAGATGAACGCCAGGGGCTATCTATTGCATGTGCTTCCTTGAGAGAGAAAAATAAGGGTCCCTTAAATCCAAAAACTTGACCTCAGATCCCTCCTCGGTCCTGAACGCGATCACCAACTCTGAGTAGGTCGCCTGACTCTTGAGTCTCAGTCCCCACCCCACCCCCACCCCCGCCCCGCGAACTAGGGATACCAGCAAATGCAGAAGCTCTGGGCTGGGTAGGGGCTCCATGAATGCTAATCCACTTGGTATCCGGTAAACTGAGGCTCTGGGCCGCACGTACAGTTCTAATAAGGTTTTAGGGGTTTGGCTGAAGCGGGATTTGAACTTCGCTGGAAAGGAAGAAGGCCTGAGCAACACTCACCTTCTTGGCCCGCGGGCCTCCGGCTGGTGCCATGTCGCCGCGATTGTGCAGGCGCGGGTCCCGGTGGCACCGGTCCCGGAGGCTCCTCGGTGCTGGAGTCCGCCCCTCTGTGGGAGGACACCCCGCTCCCTCTCCCTCTCCACTCCCTCTGCCTCCTGCCTAAGGCCACAGTCCGTGTAGTCGGTGCTTGGCCTCCCCTCCGCCATGCTCCGCCCGAGCGCGCTGCGGTTGCGGGGTCTGGCGCTGCGGGGCTCCCCTGGACGCCCAAGCTCCACCGGCCGCCGGGAAGGGTGAGTGCTCACCGCCCGCAGGTGGGGAAGAGGGGACCCATTAAGCTCCCCACAGGAACCGGTTGGAGTCCTCCTGGGACTACCTATAACTACCAGGGAAAACTGTCAGTTTCTCTGGCCCCAAGACCTGCCCGGTCAGCAATGGGCAGTGTGTGGATGTCTGTCTGTAGGAACCTGTCTCCTGTGTTCAAACAGCTAGACGCCATTGCCTCCCATATACCTTGATGGTGGTTGTTATTGTTGTTTTGTTTTCAATGATTAATCCGTTTTAGAGATTATTCTCTTCCAGGGTGTCTTGATTTGCCTTATTCTTTTGAATGGCTGCATAGTTTTTCATTTGATCAATAGTCTATAATATAATTAAGCAGCCTACTCATTAACAATTAGACTGCTTAGGTCAGGTTGGTTGGTAATGCAGAGAATGGAAACTTGGCATTTTTAACGCACGTGTGTTTAGGCAAATATGAGAGTCTGTTTTTGTTTTAATTTTTTTTTAACAAAATTGTTAGGAAAAGGGTTAGGTCATTTGAAAGATCAAAGGACAACAACAAACTTGCCCAAAGACAGTGAGATTCGGGTAAGGTTAGGATGCTTCCCCGGTGGGTGCTCGTTACCCATGTCTTCCTTCTTTGGCTCCTAGAGCAGGGTTGTGGAACTTCATAAATAAGACGAAATTGTCTGTATGTAAAATGGCGGGACAATATCTTTGATTTTCCCGTACTCATTCCTGGCGTCACCCACGGTGGCAAGGCGAGGCTCCTATTCATAGAGTCCCTCAACAAACGTTAGGCGCTGACTCCGTTTGCATTGTACAGCCTACAGTGTGCAAGGGTTGCTTTTGAGTAGCAGCTGGCCATCCTTCCATCAACAGATTTTTACATAGCATCTGTGGCATGCGGGCTTGTTCCTGGTTCTGGGAATACAGGGCCCCCAGAACAGCGGTTCTGGCTCCTTCAGACACAGCAGCTGCTGGCCCAGTGCAGGCTCCTCATCAGCAAAAACAGGATGCTAATTCCCCTCTGCCTGGCTTTCAGGAGCACTGCAAACCCTAAGTGAAGGACCATGCAAGAAGGATGTACAAGCTGTAAAAGCACTCCAATTGGAGACTGCACCTAATAGGGAAGGAAATGGAAAGGTGTTCATCTTGGGTTAATTTGTTTAAACCTGATTAGACAAATACAATGTAAGATTGAAGTCTTTATTCATGAGCGTGGGAGTGTTTATATGCATATGACATATGCATATATTCCAAAATATTGAGAGTCATCACGGATATTTCTCTTCTAACAGCCTTAAGACAGACTGGCTGTGGTGGCAAAAGCCTGACGTTCCAGCACTCGGGAATCTGAGGCAGGATGTCAACCTCAAAGCCATTGTAGGTTGTGGAAAATACTTAGTGAGACTTTGTCTCAAAAACCAAACGGAAGCAGCCACAACAGAAGAGCGCTCTATGAGGCCTTTCTACAAGTTTTGCTTTTCTGTCAGTCTGAATACAAAGTCACGCCCCATGTCCTTAAATCTGACAGACTATGAAGGCAGATTAGGATCAAGAAGCTCAGCAATGTAATCCTCGTTAGATAACCAGATCATCTTTTCCCAGATAAGGTGTATTTAGACAAACACAGCCGCCACTACCATGTCAGTCTGAGGGAAGGTTCCAGCCTGCCTTTTTGCACTTTGAAAGGTATCCTTAAGCTGCTGGTGGTGGCACACGCCTTTATTCCTAGCACTCAGGGGGCAGAGCCAGGCAGGCAAATCTCTGAGTTTGAGGCCAGCCTGATCTACAGAGAGAGTCCCAGGACAGCTGGGTCCACACACAGGAACCCTTCATTGAAAAAAAAACCAACAAAACAAAGCAAAACAACAGCAACAAAACCTTATCCTTAAAATGACACCTTTTGGTTTGATGTCATCAAATATACCATGGAGAATTTCCACAGAATTCTTATTAATTCATACTGCGACTTCCTACGTCAGACATGAATGGAATAAAGAGGTTAGTGACTAGGAAGGAAAGCAAGAACTAAGGAATTAGTAAGTCACATCCTTTGGTTATGATCCACAGGACTTGTGAGTGTTCTTTGTCTTAAGGAGAGCCAGATGCATCCTTGAGGCCCCTCCGCATGCAGCCTCAATGGCCTTTCAGAGCCCAGCCCTTCCCTGTGCGGACTGCCCACAACTGCCCCTACAGACTGGGAGCTTTCCTGCCTTACCCCTTGGCCCCTTCATTCCTCCTCACCCACTCCCATCATGCCCTCCTGTTGATGGACACTCCTGCAACCCGTGCCTTCCCTCAAAGAGTGCTTCATTGCTGTAGTGCACACATTTTCAGTTTGACTTCTTCTATCTCCCCAGTCTGCTCTAAGCTTCAGAGCTCTGAGGCCCTGTGTGCCCAGCCCTACACACAGCAGGAATGCAAGGACCACTTGATAAATAGAAAAGAAAATACTCTGAAAGAAATATAGCAATAGCAAACAAACCCTTCTCCCCAGTGCCAGGATGCCATCCTTTAGGAACTTGTATAGGGAAGTTGTGCCGGTAGAGGGTTGAGAACAAGTCATGCGAAAGATCAGATGTGCTCATGGGACATACATATTGGATGTGGGCATTGAGAGAGGGCTGAGATCAGTGACAAATATTGTCCCCTGCCTTCAAAAAGCTCACAGTGAAGCCGGGAAGCCTGTCCTACAAACTGATGACTAGAGATGCCGGAAGAGGAGGGTGCTTCTCTATCCATCTCCCTGCAACTTGGGGAGCATCAGAGATAAGAGGATGAGCAGGTGCCAAGTTGCAAGAAGATTAGGGCTTTTCTAAGACTAAAATCAATAGGAGTATGGGGGTGTGTGGGCGTGTTCAGGCCAGAGGTTGGGTACCTTCTTCAATTGCTCTCCAAATTGTTTTTGGAGACAGAGTCTCTCGCTGATTGGGCCAGGGAGGCTGGCCAACAAGACCCAGGGATCCTCCTGTCTTTATTTGGTGAGATTCCAGATGGGAGACACATGCCCAACTTTGCGTGAAACCTGAGGATCAGATTCAGGCCCTCATATTTGTACAGCAAGCACTTGACCAGCTGAGCCCCAGTCCCAGCATATGGGTGATTTTTTGTTTGTTTTTGTTTGTTTGTTTGTTTGTTTTTCAAGACAGAATTTCTCTGTGTAGCCCTGGCTGTCTTAGAACTCACTCTGCAGACCAGGCTGGCCTCAGACTCACCAAGATTCACTTGCCTCTGCCTCCAGAGTGCCAGGATTAAGGGTGTGTGCCACCATCGCCTGGTCAGAGTGTGCTTTTCAGAAGAGAAAAATGATGTCTAGGTTGAGAAAGAAGCAGTCACCGCCACCTACTACTGCTCATTTTCTGAGCCGCATTCAATGCCGGGCACCTAGTCAGGGCTCAGATTTCTAAGTGCAAAATGCATCCTGTATGCGTAAAGTCCTAGAGACAGGCAAGCAAGGGAATAACTGGAATAACTCTGCAAGGGAGTCACTCTTAAAAGCATTGTCTTCCAGACAGGAAAGCCCACCCTCAGCCCCAGAATGGAAGGACAAAGCAGAGACGGTGATCATTGGAGGCGGCTGTGTGGGCGTGAGTCTGGCTTATCATCTGGCCAAAGCAGGGATGAGAGATGTGGTCCTACTGGAGAAGTCGGAGCTTACGGCTGGCTCTACCTGGCACGCAGTAAGGAAAGCACCCCCAAAATGTCCTGTGTATGCTCCCAAACTGTGCGCCAGCTCCTCCCATTCACGGTTCCTACAGAGAGTTCTGCCGAGTATGGGACCTTCACTTCACCACAAAGTAATACTGTCACCAACTGGTGTGCTTCCAGGAAGTGGGAAATCGCTATTTAAATACACTTTATGTGAACATGTGGGTTCGGGATTCTGATCCTGGCTCTGCCACTTTCTACCCAGGGTAACTTCCAGAAATTTCCTTCAGTTTCCATTTTCTGATGCATTCCATTTTCTGAGTGGGGTTTGTTTTGTATTTTGTGACAGTCTCACCCTGTCGGCAGTTTCTGTCATTGTTCTAGTGAAGCAGCATGCCTGGACGGCAGTGGAGAACGGCCTAGGTAAAGGCCCTGGGTTAGCATAGCTCGCATATTGCCGTGTGAATCAGCAAGGGATAGGAAAGGAAGATTCATTGATTGCAAATGTGCAAGCTCGCTCTCTGTCTGTCTGTCTCTCTCTCTTGAGAAAGAGGAAGAGCTTGGCTTCACTGGCTATCTCGTTCCATAATCAGCTTTCCTGTGGTGAGGAGAGGAAAGGGGCACTCTCTCTGAAGTCCTCTTCATGCTCAGCACACACTTGACGCATGGGCCAGGTGTCTACATAGACATGGTTGTCCAGGCTCAATGCAGGTAAACATTGCCACCCAGACTCAAGCTCAGCTGACTGCAGTCTCTAGTTCCACAGTCAGCCCACACGCATCCGTCAGCCAGTGCTCCCCCCAAAATAGCATCAAGTCCGGCTCCCCTCCCTCCAACCCCTCATCCTCACTCAGTGTATGTGGGAGATGGGGTATGGGCATGGGATCACTTGCTGGAAGCAGTCTTCCCAGCACAGGTATCTCCTTTTGCTGATTCCCCACTACCTTCCCTCTGCCTGCAGAGGCCCTGGTACCCTAGGCTTGTCTCGTGTCCCTAAACTAGATTTTCTGTGTAGACTTCATGTTGTCCTTCCTCTATTTTTTTCCTAAGTGTGAGCCTTAGGGTCACTGTTACCTTGATGGAACACCATGACCAAAAGCAACTCTGGGAGGAAAACATTTATTTCACTCACAGTTTTATCTAACAGTTCATCGTCAAAAGCAGTTGGGCAGGAACCCAAGCAGAGCAGGAACCTGGAGGCCCTGGAGGAGTGCTGCTTATTGGCTTGCTCCCCATGGCTTGCTCATCCTGCTTTCTTATAGGATCCAGGACCAGGGATGTCACCATTCACCATCCACACTGGGCTGGCCCCTCCCATGTCAATCACTAATTAAGAAGCTGCCCTACAGGCTTGTCTACAGCCCCATCTTATGGAAGCATTTTCACCATCGACACTACCTCCTCTATAACTTGTGTCAAATTGGCAGAAATCCAGCTAGTTCAGTGTACACTTTGTCATCTCTCAAGACTGAAAGACCGTGTTAGGGCGCCATGGTCAGTCCCAGAAGTGAGGTCACATAGGAACAAAGCAGTCCTGCCCTCCTGGAGCTAGTCTCGGGCACATAAAACACTCAGAGTGGGGTCTGAGCCTTGAAGAAAAGAGAAACTTGGTAGGAAGCACAGAACACATGAGGAGCAGTTAGAGAGACAGCTACAGGAGCGGACACTAAACAGAGTGGGAAGTAGGTGCAAGCGTCCTAAGGGGATTCTGAGGTTAGCCAGACAAGCACCTTTAGGCAGAGGTCAACTGAGGTGAATGGTGCTTCTACTGCCTCACGCTTCTCGACTGCTCAGTGGGGGCAGGCAGGTACACATTAAAGTGGAAGGCTTATTTGTTTACTGACAGTGATTTGATAAGGCTTGCATTTCAGGATAGATGACAGGGTTCCCTGAGATTTTACTAGCTCTCCCACCAATACATGGTGCCTACCTTAGCCTAAACTCTTTAAGACAAGCAGCCAAAGATTATAAGAAGTTATGTGAAGTTAACTGTGTAAAATATTTTTTCCCTACAAGATACCAAAAGAGTGGGGGAAAGCACCTCATCTCGTTAAACAAGGCAGTAAGCCAGAGTCAAACGGGGAACCATTGTGTGGAGTCAGACAGCAGCAGTTAGGTGGTTTGTGCCCCTTGAAATGAGGGACAGGGCAGGACTTGTCCTAGGAACTGATTCTGGGAGCTTTCACACATCTATGAGCCTTCTCTGTAAGAAATGCCATCAGGAAGTTTCACATGCCAAGTGTATTCTGCCCAGACATATCCAGGAACAGACTGGGATGTTCAAAGCTGGAGAACCAGCTAAAAGGACAAACTGGAAATGAAGGCAGCACCCTTGGAGATCCCTGGAGTTCCAGATGTTTTCTGTGATGTAAGCATCCACAAGGTACAGGAAATGAGGGCTGGAGGACGGCACAGCCTGAGACCGAAAGTTCAAAGTGTAGCCAAGTCTGCGGACCCTGAGGTCTTGCTTACTTCCGTCAGTGCCCGAGGAATGGCATCAGATGCGGGTTTGGAGAATAGGGTCCTCCATGTCCCTGAGAATGATGTCACAGCACTATCTTTAGAGATCCCAGGTTGGAAGACCCAAGATGGAAGATAATCTAGAACTTTCCACTTATTTACATACATAAGAAAGAAATCAAACTTTACTAACATGACGTGATTGATGTATTGGTTAGGATCCCCAGGTTCTCTGGGAACAGGTTGGCTCTGCACAGTGGGCTCATCTTGGCCCTTTTTTTTGACTGCTATGTGAGGCCGTCATGGTGACTAGCTTTACTGAGCCTTTACATGGTATAGTTTGTGAGGAGAGGAAGAGGAATGGCTTGAGGTTGACAGAGTTGTACTCTGGAAAGATTTGTTACCTGGCAGTGATGGAAAGGGTTGAGAATTTTAAGCTTGTATTTCTTCTACAAATAGGCAAGTGTTCCAAATGTGTTGGCTTCTAGTAATCCAAATGGATGTGCGTGGTTTCTATGTAGCAGTTACATGGGCTGCAAAAACTGTGTCTGGGAGTGTGGCTGAATGGTGGAGTGTTTATCTAGTAGCAGTGAGAGGCTCCAGGCTTGATCCTCAGCCCTAGAAAGAGATGGGTGGGCAAGGATGAGTCTTTAAAGAGGGAGCAGCTGGCCTGCAAGGCAGCCCTGTTGGGAGAAGAGCATGCTAAAAGGGACTAACTAGAAATGTAGATATTATGGCTAGATTTTCTACACTAAATGATATCTCCTGTTGGGGGTGTGTCTGTTTAACCTGTTAATTCTTTTTCTGATAAGGAATTCCAGTAGGATTTGTTCCCATGTATTTAAAATACAAAGAGCATGATGCTCTTCAAGTTGTAGCAAGAACAGAGAGACGAGAGACCATGACAGTCAGCGGTTACCAGGAACCTTTGCATAGGTTGGCGCAGTAACAGGTGTTTGAAATGGAGAAGGGGGTTTAAAACACAGAGCACACAGCCAAGAGACCTCTGCTTCCACTTGGGTCCATGTAGGGTTGAGAGGCGTCTTCTGCTCCCTTAGCCTCTGAAATCCGTCTCAACCTCTCAAGCGCTCAAGAGGACAAGGAAGAATGTTATAGCTAATCCTACTTGTCAGTTTGACAGGCTCTAGAATCACCTAGAAGACAAACATCTGGGTACATCTGTGAGGGCTTGTCAGATTGTGTTAATCGATGTAGGAAGACCCCTGACCTTGGGGAGCATCATGCCAGGGTCCCTATCAGAATAAAAGGAAAAGAAGCGCTCAGACAGACCTGGCACTCACCTCTCTCTGAGGGCAGATGCAGCATCGTCTGCTCCCCTCACCTCTATTCTGTGCCTTGCCCACTGTGATGGACTGTAATCTGCAAACTGGAAGGCAAAATAAACCTTTTCTTTCTCTAATGGCTTCTCGTTTGGTATGTGTTCATACCAAAGAAGCTAATACACAGGAAGACTGAGAGTTTAATGCCAGCCTGAGCTACATAGCGAGACCACTTTCAACAAAAAGGAATTCAAGCAAACAAATAAAACATCCTGGATGTAAAGCAAGCCCAGAACCAGGCTGTATTTTCAATACAGTGTACGCAGCTCAATAATAAAGTGCGTTAATCACCACGCTCTATCGAAAACGTGATTCATGAGCTTAATATTCACACGCTTTCCGGCACAGTAACTAAGATAAAATTTATTTAAAATACTTCACTCATCTCAAGCTCATTTAGTGTGTTTTACGATCTCTATTAATACAGTAACCTATATTTACATGTTTGTGTAAATAAAGGCATAAGAATATTTTAGTGGTTACGTGCAAACATTCCAACTGAGCATGCGTGTATGAATAAAGGATTTGGAGCCACTGGGATAAATGATGGCTTAGGCCAATGGCTGAGTTCTCTGAGGCAGTGGAGGCCCCTGAGAGATAGGAAGCATATCAGGCTAGGGGTCACAACCTGAGCTGGCATCCAACGCACCCCCATTATTTAGCGCCCTTCATGATTTTCCTGCAGTTTTTTCTTACTTGGTTATTGTCATTGCACTATAGGGAAGAGTGTTCCTTTCTTGTTATTTTAAATTTACATCAACAAAAATTTGCAGATTCTGAATTGACTCAAAGACTTGTGTGTGTTCCCTAAACAAAGGACACGGGGCTAAATGTCTTTAGTGAGTCCGTGTGATTCTTTCAAATGAAAATTCATTAGTCTCTAGTTTCTGAGGTAGGGGAACAGAGAATACAGTATAGGTGGATAGAAAGAATGGAACTTTCTGATGCTCTGGTGCGGTGGTTTGAACAGGATTTGTCCCCTACTCAAGTCCATATATGTGAATGCTTGGTCATTAGGAGATGGTGCTACTTGAGAGGGGTTAGGAGGTGTGGCCTTGTTGAAGTAGGTGTGGTTTTGTTGAAAGAAGTGGGTCACTTGGGGTGAGCTTTAGGGGTTTCAAAAGCTCAAGCGAGGCCCAGGGTCTCTCTCCTCCTGCTGCCTGCAGATCTGGATGTAAAGCTCGCTTTTGCCACATCTGCAAGTGTGTCAACGCGCTCCCTACCGTGATGGCAAAGGACTAAACCTCTGGAGCTGCAAGCAAACCCCACTGAAATGTTTTCCTTTCTCAACTTTGCAGTGGTGGTCCTGGCGTCTCTTTATAGCCATAGAAACACTAAGCCACCTGGATTCTTCCAGGGCTGTGGCTTACAGGATCTCCAGGAGTAATCAGAGCTCTGGCCAGTACTCGTGAGCATTTATTTTCTCAGTTGATGGGTAGAAGATGCATTGAAGACAGAATTGGGGTCGGTGGCAGATACTGAAGGCCAGAAATGGTCACTGACTGGATGAGGAAAGTTCATATGCACACCAAATCTCAAGCTTGTGAAAGGGAAAGAGCGCTTCGGTCGTGTTTCTAAGACCCTGGCAGGAGTTCTGTGGTGGAAACATTCCAATGCTCTCACCAGGGCAGCGCTACAAGATGCCTTAGGAACCAGGATGGGATTTTTGTCAGAAGCATCCCTTGTGTGTATGTTAGATGCTTCGACAAGATTGGAAGCATTGAGCTTCTGGTTTCTAAACAGTGGTTGATTGACTTTAATGGGAATAGTTTTGAGTTTCAGAGACTCAAATTCCCTTAGGAGAAAGTTATAAATATTCCTAAATGGATTTGAGTTGAACAGATTGTGTTCTGATGAGCTCCCCAAGATAAATTAGCTGAAAAATGAGACCCCAGACACTTAATTAAGAAAACTCTTGCTTCAGTAATTGCCTAGAATTCTTGGTCTGGATGCTACATTGCGTCTCTCAGAGTTGACGGAAGGGGCTACAAGATTTTTAATATTTATCAATCTTTTCTAAAGAATAATTAATCAATATTTATTCAACAAACATGTGTAGGTGCATTTGATTATCTGACATGCTGTATAATATAATGTGTATATAAGGTGTCTAGGAAACACACAGATTTCTTTTTTGTATAGACCTGGGCATTATTATATATACACAAATTTATTTTTTAAATGTAGAACAATAAACACCTTTGTCACATGAGTTATGAATGATGGTTTATTTGCCTTTTGAGGCTTTGATCTTCCTCAGATAGAACTCCAGTTCCTTGCCTTCTAGCACGTAGCCATCTGCGCCACCACACTGGCCTGGTCTTGAGGCGATACAGGCAAGAAATTTGCCCTACTGGAACTGCTCCTCCAGAAGACTGCTGATTTTAGCCTTCTTTTTCCTTTCATCATATTTCTTTTGAATTTTCTTTGATCGCTTTTTGGTTAATATTTCTTCCTCTTCAGGAGTCAGCTTGGCTCCCTTCTTGCAGCCCAGGGGCAGTGTACAGTGGGACTCGTACCACTGTCGGTACAGTGTGCTGTCAATAAGCACAATGCAGTTCTTCACCAGGGTCTTGGTGCGGACCATCTGGTCTTTGGTTGCATTGTAGACGAGATCAATGATCCTTGCTTCGCGAGTTCAGCATTCAGAATCCCAGGAAAAGCTCCCCACACCCACTCTTAGGGCGCGGCACTTCTTATTGCCTCCTCTAACTTGGACTGTGTTTACCACGAGGGCGGGGCTTAGCGTTGGCAGCAGGCTGTCCCAGCTCATACTCCCGCTTCCTGTGGTCGGGCTTTCTTGTGCCAGTTGTCCCGACAGATGCCCATTGCTCTGCGCTGGTTCATAATTTTAAAATTCAAAATCTTTACTTTTATTTTTCAATTACACTTAAATTAATTATTGGTTTTGGGTTTTTCCAGACTGGGCTTCTCTTTGTAGCCCTAGCTGTCCAGGAACACACTCCATAGACCAGACTGACCTTAAACTCAGAGATCTACCTGCCTCCCAAGTACTGGGATTAAAGGCGAGCACCACCACCACCCAGCAGTTAATTAATTTATCTCTCTCTCTCTCTCTCTCTCTCTCTGTGTGTGTGTGTGTGTGTGTGTGTGCAATGCACTTATCTACCTACTCACACGTGCCATGAATTCGAGAGGACGATTTACAGTGGATGGTCCTCTCTTAAGACCCAGTGGGCTCTGGGAGCTCATCAGGGTTGGTGGCAGGTAGCTTTACCCACCAAGCCATCTTCCTGGTCTCCAAACTTAAAATCAAAACACTTCTGGTCCCATGCATCTCAGATAAAAATCAATCAACAACAGCAGATGTTCTAAACCTTCCACCTAACCCACGCCATTTCACCCTTTTCCTAGTGCATTTTAGGCTCTTCCTGGATGTGTCTGTGGGCTGGCTCTTGCTCTACTTGTACGACTGAAGTTGCTTCTTGTACCATGTGATACACCATCTGCTTGGCGGTCTCCAACCAATGTGTTCTTTCCTGCACCCACCCTATATTCTTCTAGTCTCAGCAGCATGAAATTGCTGCGTAGCAGAGGAGTTATCAACATTGTGCAAATGCCCACATATTTCAGTGTTTTCTTCCCTCCCTATTCTTCAGGCAGGCTTAACAACTTACTTTCACCCTGGGATAAACTTGAAGAAAATACACTATGACAGCATCAAACTGTACGAGAAGCTGGAAGAAGAAACTGGACAGGTAAATGCTTTTAGTTTGAAGCTGTCTGTGAGGTCAATCACTCAGATATAGAATCCATGTGCAGGGCTTGCTGTGGTAGAGAAAGAAAGGTTAAGGTAAGAACCGGGGTTGATCTTAACATCACTTTAATTTCTACAAGTATATTATCCACGTATTTAACTATTTTTTATTTTTTTAAAGGAAGAGTGTAGTTGGACCCACCCACCAGTTGCCAAAATAATCATTCAGAGGCTCATATTAATTACAAATGCTTGTCCAATAGCTCAGGCTTGTTACTAGCTAACTCTTACTTTTTTAAGTTAACCCGTATTCCTTATTTACACTCTGCCACATAGTGGTACCTTTATTAGCATGGCACATTCATCTCCTGCTCCCTCTGCATCTGGCTGGTGACTCATGACTCCGCCTTTCTCTTTCCCATCATCCTTTGGCTTTAGAAACAGTACAATAAGTCCCCTTCCCTGTCTTTGCCTTTATCCCTTCTCATAGTGACTGTGCTCACAAAATAAAAAGTTTCCATGAGCTAAGATCAAAGGCTTCTCAATGTTTTCATGCTTTATTCTGACTGAAGGCCACTAAAAGCTCCCCAGAGTCTGCAGGATCAAGACCAAAGACTTAGCAGGGTCTGAGGCCCCCAGCCTTCGTCTCCTCACTTCCTAACATTCTCTTTTCCCTCAATTTCCTTTGCTCATGTGCTTTAATTGTTCTCAACAGTGTATACTTCTGGAATGTTCTGGGTGCTTTCACAGCTGCTTTCTAAATTTATGCTGTTTTTTTCTTTCCTGTTCTAACTGGAACCACCTTCCTGTCAATCTACACAGACAACCAACCCCTCATGCTTCTAACACAAGTGTGTGTGCACACTGTTCTAACACACAGCATGCGTACACACTATTCTAACACAAGTGTGTGTGCACACTGTTCTAACACACAGCATGCGTACACACTATTCTAACACAAGTGTGTGTGCACACTGTTCTAACACACAGAATGCGTACACACTATTCTAACACAAGTGTGTGTGCACATTGTTCTAACACACAGCATGCGTACACACTATTCTAACACAAGCGTGTGTGCACATTGTTCTAACACACAGCACGCGTGCACGCTGTTCTAACACTGTAGTAAGGAGCTGTGGGCAGGCCTGCTTTTCATCCCGCCCGGCTCCCACACAGCTAGCTTAGCCCCAGAAATAATAACACATAAGTTGTATTCATTTAAACACTGCCTGGCCCATTATCTCTAGAGAGTTAGTTGCTGACTAACTCTCACATCTTGATTAACCCATTTCTAATAATCTGTGTAGCACCATGAGGTGGTGTCTTACCGGAAAAGATTCAGCATGTCTGACCTGGTGTCTAGCTCCATGGCATCTGCCTCATTGCCCTCTTCCCAGCATTCTGTTCTGTTTACTCTGCCTACCTAATTTTCTGTCCTATCAAAGGGCCAAGGCAGTCTCTTTATTAACCAATGAAGATAACACAGACAGAAGGCCCATCTACATCATAACACATGGCACGTAGGCACGCTGTTCTAACACACAGCATGCGGGCACACTGTTCTAACACAAGCGTGTGTGCATACTGTTCTAACATATAACACATGTGCACGCTGTTCTAACACACAGCATGCGCGTACGCTGTTCTAACACACGGCACGCGCGCACGCTGTTCTAACACACTGTCCCACTGTTACTGTTGCTTTACTGGTGCTCTTTCCTGCAGACTGTGATGTGAGCAACTTGAAGACCAGGATACCCTCTTGTTCCATGACCCAGGGCACACTGAAATTTTTCAAATAGAAAGACTTTAAGAAACGCCAAATGAGTGTTGACTCACACTTGCTCTCCCCAGAGCAGCACACGAACTCTCTGTAATCCCTCCCTAAATCCTCTGGCTTTCTCCTTTTCATGTGGTGCTTCTCCACCCTGCACTTGACCCCCTAGTCCACGCAACCCTATGCTCTTACTGCCGCACCTTTACCTGTCGACAGACAGTTCCATCAGTCAGGGGCTCTGCCTCTCTCGTTCACCCTGCACCTCAGGCTTTCGGTGCTGCCTGGCTTATAGGAACACCGAGTAAATTGCTGCCGGATGAATATCTTTTCATAAGCTGCAAATATTTTGTGTAATTATGATGTTAGCTACATATAGTAAATTTCTCTTTTACTCACTTGAGTTTTTATTGTGCTGGAGAACTGTGTGTGAGTACCAGGGGGTAGTTTATTGATGTACTTTTATTGGAATGATTGTCACAGGTGGTGGGATTCCATCAACCGGGCAGTATCAGACTTGCTACGACTCCTGTAAGGGTAGATGAATTTAAATATCAAATGACCCGGACCAACTGGCATGCCACTGAACAGTATATTATTGAGCCTGAAAAAATCCAAGAGATGTTTCCTTTACTCAACATGAACAAGGTATTTTTCATTTGTTTGTTTTGAGACAGGGTTTCTCTGTGCATCAACCCTGGCTTTTTTGTAGACCAGGCTGGCCTAGAACTCACAGAGATCCACCTGCCTCTGCCTCCAGAGTGCTGGGATTAAAGCTATGTGCCACCACTGTTGTGCTTGAACAAGGTATTTATCTGAAGGGCAATTTCACTTCGTCAACTTGAACTAAAATCATTTTAAAAATATATTTTAATAAGTTCCGTGAATTTATGAGTTTGATAAGATGAAAGTAAAAGCAATCCGTGTGCACATTGAGAATGGCAACATTAGATGACTGATCCTGGAATGTGGGCAAATCACAAGGTGAGCTGCTACTCGATAACATATGCAGGGGCAATGAAAACCCTTTAGTTTCTGCCCACGTTGGCTAAAGAGACATTTCAACGCCCATCTAGGACTGGATCGCTCAGACTGAAGTTCTACGCCCCAGCTGTCTGTTGGGGAACTTCACAGAGACTGGCATCCTATTGTCGTGGTTCTAGAAAGAGTTTTCTAAATTTTTAAAGCTCAAGAAGCCCTGTGCCACCCTCATATGCTTCCCAGCCCTTAGCTGCACTTCCCTTTCAGACTGTGCCAGGGGAAGATCGAGATCAACTTTGAATTTCTTGCAGAGAATCCACTGACAGGGAATTTAAAGTTTTTCCCTCCTGGGTGACCATCCTTTCAACGTGATGATCATGGCACTAGCATCTACTTCAGTATTGTTTATGTAATAGAGACCATGTTAGCCCCTCCTATGCAAAATCTGGCTATTGTGGCCCAGAAACAAAATCTTCAACAGTTTACACAGTGGGATGAGTTTGTTCAGTTCAGAATTGCTGGAGGAAAGATTTGAACCCAGACCCCTGACTTGTGCTGTGCATACGTCCTGGGTATGGGTAGCCAAAGGGTTCATGGGGGAAGCAGACGGTTATTGCCCTGCTAGTGACTGTCAGTAGTTCCTGTTCTGAGTGTTTGTGTAAGTGATGTGGGTGCTGGGGCGCTGTGCTCTTGTGGGCTTTTACAGAGCATGGAACGCCTTGTCTATGAGTTGATGTGCTAACAGTGTCTTCATTGAAATCCCCTCCGCTAGGCTATGAGAATCCATTTGTCTCTTTAGATGTCAACCCTGCAACGCTTGCCTAGGAACTCTCATCATTACAGATTTTTCTCAAAGATATTAAGCAATGGAAACACATGGACCAGGGCCAGTGTGCCAAACCAAACAGACATGGGATCACCACAGGACATGGCCATGACAAACCACCAGGGTGACATTTGCATGCAGGCAGGAGAGTGAATTTCACTGAAACCCAAAGTCTCTTGCACTGGAACCATAAGGGCAAAGACTAAATTATAGAAAACAAAAACTCAGACAAAGAAGAGTCCAGGCCCAGATGATATCTTTGATAAATTCTAACAGATACTTGAAGAATATACCAATCCCTCACAAAGTCTTCTAAAATTAGAATTAAATACTTCCTGACACAACCTATAAAGCTAGTATGTCTCTGACATAAAAACGAGAGAAAAGCATCAGAGGAAAAGACAGACTATAGCCCTTCATGAATATAGATACAAAGTCTTTCACAAAAATCCAGTAGATTGGAGCAAGGATTCTACAATACAGTCAAATAGAGTGTGTCCCAGGAAGGCGAGATTGGTTTAAAAACTAAATGTCAATCAACGTAATGTAATAACATCACATCAACAAAGGGCAAAGAGCTCAAAATAGTTTAAACAGATGCAGGAAAACATATTTGTCAAGACTCCGAATTCATGGGTGACGGCAAATTCTTGTCCAATAGCTGAGATTGCATTATGGCTCTGCCAGCTCACCTCGTCTCGGTCCATCCTTTTATTATTTCTCTCACAATGCCTAAGCTGAAGCCTTAACACAAAGTAGGCTGCAAGAAGGCATTGTTGACCTATGAACCGAGCATACATTTTCCTCACGCATATATGTGGGCCTACGAATGCAGGGCAAATGGACACCTAGTTCTTTCCACCACTAGGCTACTACTCTAACACTGGACTGCAGTCCCAGCCCATTTTTTATTTTTTATTTTGAGACAAGGTCTCCCCAAAGCTGCCCAAGCTGGCATTGAACTCACTCTGTTCCAAACAGGTATTGAACTTGAAATTTCTGCCTTGGTCTTCCTAGGAGCTGGGATTACATACCTGCACCACCTGACCAGATGATATCTGATATGCATTGACACATATGTAATTTTATTTACAGTATTGAATAATTCAATATATTGTAACAGACATGTCAGCTAGAATTAGATTTGATTTTAAACATGAGAGACTGCAATAATAATGTTTAAGCGAGTCAATTTCTCTTTCATTTAAGCATTTGTCCTGGTTAGTTTTATGTCAACTTGATACAAGCAAAAGTCATCTGAATGGGGGAGAACCTCAGTGAAGAAAATGCCTCCATAACACCAGGCTGCAGGCAAGCTTGTAAGACATTTTCAATTAGTGATCCCTTTGGGAGGACCCAGCCCATTGTGGTTGGTGGTCCTAGGTTCTATAAGAAAGCAGGCTGTGGAAGCCATGTGGAGTAAGCCAGTAGCAGTATTTTCCCGTGGCCTCTGCATCAGCTCCTGCCTCCATGTTCCTCTCCTGCTTGAATTCCTATTCTGACTTCCTTTGATGATGATCTGTTATTTGAAAGTCTAAGCTGAACAAACCCTTTCCTCTCCAAGTTGCTTTGGTCATGGTATTTCATCACAGCAACAGAAACCCTAACGAAGAGTCATGAGGTCATCAAGATTTCAAGGATCAGGTCACTTTCTGGATAATTGTCACTCCTGGGGTGTGGTGACTCTTGTACTATTATTCCTCAATGGCAGTTAGAACCCAGCCGTCGTATCGTATCTGCATGCCAGACCCCAGGATGGAGAAAGGAACAAAGATGGACATAACACTAGTTGTCTTTTTGGAGCGGTTTGTGGAAGCCACCATATAACCCTTTTCTTTACATTTCTATCATCTAGAACTTAGCTTTAGCCACTGGCTGGAGATAATAGCTACCAGCAGATTAGAAACTGTGCTCTTTGTTCTTAGTGGCATATGTCCAACTATCGGAGACCATTGCAGGGCTGGATCAAGCTGTTTGTCATTGTGACAAGTCACTCAACTCTCATTGTGAATCTTGCTCAAGTCCGAGTAGGGCTTCGGAAAAAGGCGTTCCCCCTGCTGTCAAGATGCTTTCCTTCTATGCTGGAATCAAATCCTTGTGCATGTCAGGCAAGCCCTCTGCCACTCAGCTCTGGACCCCTCTAGCCACTGATAGACTTTTAAAGATTGGTTTTATTAAGCATCTGCTTAGCAGGCTATATTTGCATCGAGTGATAAATATACATGGCGTACTGACTTTCTTATGGTTGATTTAGATTTTAGCTGGACTGTATAACCCAGGAGATGGTCACATTGATCCTTATTCTCTGACAATGGCCCTGGCTGCTGGGGCTAGGAAATACGGGGCCCTTCTGAAGTATCCTGCACCGGTGACGTCTCTGAAGCCCATGCCAGATGGAACATGGGATGTGGAAACACCACAAGGGTCTGTGAGAGCAAAGAGAGTTGTGAATGCTACCGGTAAGCCACCAGCCCTCTCTCTGCCACTCTGCCCGGCTTTACCCACCCTCTCCTGTGTACTCCCCCGGTTTCCATTCTTATCTACTCTAGATTGTGTTTCGCCAACTTAGGCTTCTTTCTCTTTTCAGTTTTTATCTTTATCTTTTACTGGTTATGCTCATGTTCAGATTCCAGGGATTAAGGATGGAGTTCAATTTGCAGAGTGCTTCTCTGGTATGCATGAAGTCCTCGGATCAGAAGTCCAAGGCCTTTCTCGGCTATGTAGGGAGTTTGAGTCCAGCCTGGGATACTTGAGATCTTGCCTCAAAGCAAATAACCAAGCAAGCAAACAAACCTGAATTCCACTGTTCCAATTTCTTACCATGTGACTTGTTCTTAGTTTATATTTTAAGGCAGATTTGATCATTTCTGCTCTCTCATTCTCTCTCTTATTCAAAGATTACTTTGACTCGTCAAAAATTTTAAACTTTACGTTTCAGAACATTATTAAACACATTATAAAACTTGCCTAAAGAGTAGAAGCAACCGAATACAAGTCGGAACCTCTAGTCCAAGTTCTCTTAGAAGAGCAGTCTTGGAAATCATTCATTCCACCAACGCCACCTAATAAGTTCTTTGTAAATTTGCAGTGTTTCATGGTCGCCTGAATTTACTCCTAAAACTCTTTGACTACTTTCATAGCGGCAGCAAAGACTGAGACCTCCGTGTCCAGCTCCTGGGGCAGACATTAGTGACCAGCAGCTGCGCTCACTTTAGGCGAGCTTGCTCAGAGGCCCGCTGTGTTTTGTTTCCAACGTAGTGCCTCAGGAACTCGTGCAGCCGTGATGTATATTTTGAGAAATAACTCTCAGTTTAACACATTTACCCACTGCTTTTCTAAAATGGATACAATTACTTACATAATAGGGTACTATGGAAACACTTCACATTTCTTTTACTGTGACATTAAGGCCTTTTCGAAGAGCAAAGTGAGAATTGCTCCGAGGAGACCTGAGCTCACCCCGGAAACTGGACATCAGGTGGTGTTTCCTATGCATTTGTGAGACCCTGAGGTGATGTCTGTAGAGCCCTGAGAGAAGGCTGTCTGAGAAAGCAAAGAAAACCAGCCTACAACTCTCAATCCCAGAGAACCTAGACAACAATGGGGACCCTAAGAGAGACATACATGGATCTAATCTACATGGGAAGTAGAAAAAGACAAGATCTCCTGAGTAAATCGGGAGCATGGGGATCATGGGAGAGGGTAGAAGGGAGGGGAAAGATAAGGAGGGGAGTAGAGAAAAATATATAGCTCAATAAAAACAAAAAATAAAATAAAATAAATAAACCCATTTTTAAAAAGGGTTGTCTGAGCTGCCCAGGAAGACAAGCTTTAGGGATCTCATTTTAACAATGGTCAGCCCTTCAAGAAATGGCCGTCCTTCCTGCACGGTTTGCCCCTCCAAACTGCCCAATCACCTTTACTGTCTCTCTGTGGTATTCCAGGAAGCTCATGCTGAAACCTGTGTGAACTGGCCTGTCTCAGTTCTCAACTCTTTATCCTATTCACACCAAATTTCCCACTATCTCTAATCCCTCCCTCTCTCCCTCCCTCCCTCCCTCCGTCCCAGTTTTTCTTCCTTTTCCTTCCCTGGGCAGAAGTCACTGATTACATAGTAGTAGCCCCTGGGAAGTAAGGAGGAGTGTGTGTGTGTGTGTGTGTGTGTGTGTGTGTGTGTGTGTGTGTGTGGTGTGTTTGGTATATTTCTATGTGTGTTTTCAAAGAACTTTCCTAACTGCTGGAGGCATTCTGTAAGGTCAGCCTTGGTGTTGGTAACCGGGGGCAGAGATCTGGTCACACCACTCTCGTAGAGCTGATGCTGTTTTAATGTCAGTTTTATGAATAAAAGCAAGCATCACGTTAATGGTTTCAGAACGTGGCAGTTGGAACGTTTCCCAGAGTTACCCAGTGAGACCAAGATGCCACACACCGTCGGGCAAAGTCCTCAGGGTGGCTCTGGAATCCACCTGAAGGAACCAGGATGCAGAGTTGGAAGCGGTCGCACTGTGAGAGACGTAGGGGCTGCTGCGTCTTTGGAATGCACATAGGGAGGGGAAAGAACAAAGGCCTGTGCGTTTGCTGCTGTGTTTCTAGTTTTGTCCAGGGCACTGGCGCTCTGGTCCGGAGACACATGTTTGACCAAGCCTCTGCTTGAGGCAAGTTACCAATTTAGAAAGGTTAATAATGCCCTCTCAGAAAGTTATTGTGGGCAGTAAACTATGAAATGCTCAGGACAGGGTATATGTGGAAAAGAGTAAAACCATTAGTTACCGCAATAATTAGGGCTGTAATGCCTGTTTTCTTGAGAGTTTATGCCTGTGTCTGGGAAACATTAACCAGCATCAACTATCATGGCTTCTTGGTGCTAATCATAAGATTATTCCTTTCTTCTGCCCTGAAACCATCTAGCAAACATTTGCTAGGAAATGACTTCCCAAGGAACTTGGTTGTTAAACGAGGGTACCTGGGAATCACCTTGGAAGGCTTCTCAGGCTTCAGAAAGATTCTAATTCAGAGAGTCTAGCTGGGGGCTAGTAAGGTGTATTTATTATATGTGTTTTGTTTTTGAAATGCTGGTGATTGGGCCCAGGGCCTTGTGCAGGTTAGGCTGGTTGACAGGTTAGGCTGGTTGACAGGTTAGGCTGGTTGACTTAGGGTCTCTATTGCTGTGAAAAAACACCATGACCAAAAGCAACCTGAGGGAACAAAGGGTTTATTTTATTTTATACTTCCCCATCGCTGTGGGAAGTCGGGGCAGGGACCCAGAGGCAGGAACTGAAGCAGAAGCCACACAAGAGCACTGCTTACCTACAGGGCTTGCTCAGTTTGTTTTCTTATAGGCCCCAGGAGCACTAGCCCAGGGATGGCACCACTCACATGGATGGGCCTGTCCACATCCATCGCTAATTTAAAAAAAAAAAATGCTCCGCAGGTTTATATATAGCCAATCTTACAGAGACATTTCCCCAGTCGGGGTTCCTTTGTCCAAAACTAGCCAGCATACCAGTGTTCTAGCACTGAGCTATATTTCTGGTCTAGAAACTGTGTTTTAACTGTGTTGTCTGTTCTTAGATGATTTCCCAAGACCTTCTCTTTGGCTGTGGTGGTGGGGATGGGGGTTGCTGCTGATTACTGAACCCAGGGCCTCATTCACGCTAAGAACTGTGCCCCTGAACTACATCCTACGCATTCATTTATTTATGTATTTAATTTTGCATCGAACTAAGGCCTTGTTAAATTGCCAAGTGGCCTCAAACTGTATAGAATGCAAATACAAATTGGGTTTTTTGTTTTGTTTGGTTTGGTTTTTTTGAGACAGGGTTTTTCTGTAGCTTTGAAGCCTATCCTGGAACTTGCTCTTGTAGACCAGGCTGGACTTGAACTCACAGAGATCCTCCTGCCTCTGCCTCCTGAGTGCTGGGATGAAAGGCATGTACCACCACTACCCGGGTGCAAATTGGCTTTAAACTTGAAACTCTTTTCACCCTCTGAGATCCAGGATTACAGGTGTGCCCACCTCATCGGGCTGACATAGCTCCTGAGAACAGTTCTAGCTCTGAGAGCCAGCAGGGGAGTGTACTGACCATATTCTCTCCCTGTGCCTTCTTCTCTCTCCTCCTCTCAGTCCTCCTCCCTTCTCATTCCCCTCTTTTTCCTCCTCTCCTCTCTCCTGCCTTCCCCTCCCCTCCTCTCCTTTCCCCTCCCCTCCCTTTCCCTTCCCTCCCCTCCTCTCCCCTTTTCCCCCTCTCTGCTCTCTTGCCTTCCCCTCCCCTCCCCTCCCCTCACTTTCCCTCACTCCCCTCTCCTACCTTCCCCTCCCCTTCCCTTTCTTCCCCCTTTCCTCTTCTGCCCTCCCCTTCCCTCCCCCTCTTTCCTAGTTTTCCTGTTTGTGTGCCCCTAGTTGTGAGCGAGCAGGGCTGAGGAGGGTTCTCAGTGCTTCCAACATCTTAGCATGCAGCAGGCTAACTGCCCTTTATTACCCAGAACTTTATAAATGAACTGGATTCTGCTTTAGTCCAGTCTTGCTTGGGCCCAGAGACACAACACCGCACAGGGACAGGGCCTAGACACACAGAAGCCACTCACTATGAAGCGAAGCTTTCTCGTGCACGGTAAGGAAAGTGCCTCTTGACCCTGTTTCCGGTTGATTCATTAAACCTGAGAAAACTTTGTAAATTTTATCTAAGAACTTTCCTAGTAATGCCAATCAGGAAGTGACTGAATGATGCTGACACGGAGCCTAGCGTTTATCCAAAAAGAGTTGCTGGGTGGTGGTGGCACACGCCTTTAATCCCAGCACTCAGGAGGCAGAGGCAGGCGGATCTCTGTGAGTTTGAAGCCAGCCTGGTCTAAAGAGTGAGTTCCAGGACAGGCTCCAAAGCTAGAGAGAAAAGCTTTGTTGCTGCATTTTGCCTGTCACTGTATCAGACGAGAGAGACCTCCATTGTCGCTGTGTACAAGGCATTTTGCAGACGTGAATTGGGTCATGAATCAACCTTCCTTCAACCTAACCTCCTTCCTTCCAACCATTTTTTGCATGACCAGTTCTGCACTCTTTTAAACAGAGCTCATTTCCAGTGCTCACCTTTCTGGGCCCTTCACTTGCTTCCTTTCAGGATGCTTTTTCTATGCTTGACTCTCCCCTTTGACCTTGGTCGCTGAGTGCTCTTGCCAGAGTTGCTGCATAATCCTAGCTAGACTTAGACTAATTCAATAAACAGAAAAGGAGGCTTCTCAGATACTAGCACCAAAGGGTAAACGGTGTGGAGCTTGTGGGATTTAAAGCAATACAGTTAGCTGAGATGCGGGCAAACATGTATACTTTATTTTAATGATAAAATGCATTAATAAGCAAGGCATCAGACTCAGTAATTTATAATTATATTTGAATAGGACAGAATTTATCTTCTTCAATTTATGCTTTTAATCGAAATAACTAGATTGGGGAGACTGTAGTACTTTGAATTACTTGGCTAAGTATTTGACTTTAGATTTGAAAACTGTCTTAGTGTGTATAAGGACAATATACAGCTTTGCTATATTTTCTTACCAAGTCCTGACAGTGGTAATTCACACCTTTCTACAAGAAACAATAAATTAAGTCTCTAGATTATTTAAGGCCAGCAAAGGTCTCAGATGCCCACAGATTGGATTCCAAGTTTACAAAGGGCAGCCTGTGGGGGGTGATTACTCAAGCGTGACACCCTGACAGGCCAGCCGGAAACAAAACAACAGAACAAGCGTATAGATGGCTTTAGCTTAACTGGAAACAAACACTAGAGGCAAACCCGACCTGCTCGGGGCTCTCAGGCTGACTCCTGGGTAACTGTACCTAGCCTTGGACTATGTGACGATGAAGATCTTAGAACCTCTTGCCAGAAAAAAAAAAAAGAAAACAGAAACAGAAACGGTTGAAATTTTAAACTACACCCTAAGAAAAGCAGTAATTGAGAGGGTTTGCCAGTCCTTTGATAATTACTCAAACCTACTAGGAAACAAACTGGTCAATAGAAATCCCTCCCTACAAATAATTAATTGACGGATGAAGCTACACCACATCTTTATCAAACACACACACACACACACACACACACACACACACACACACACACATTGATCATTTTAGATACTGAAATACCTTTTTATTGGTAAAGGTGTGGTGTTTATTTAAAATAATGTCTTGCTAGCTGGGTGTCGTGACTCATGTCTCTCTGTAGCCCTGGTCTGGGGAGGTGGAGGCCAGAAGTTCAGAAGTTCAGTGCCAGCCTGGGCATATTAAGTGTTTGAGGCTAGCTCTGGCAACATGTAAATCCATGATTTTTTAAAAAATAGACAGAATAAGAAAGACAGACAGACATAAAGTCTTACCACTGCAGCAAAAGCATTTAGATTTGGTGGTCATAGTCGCTATGGTCTTTCAGACATGTGTGTTCAGGTCTAACCTTGGGAACTGATGTACCTCGCCTCTATTTTGCTGCTTTCCTTTCTGCGGTGCTAGAGATGAACTCAGGGCCTCACACGCATGCCCGAAAGTGTCACCACTTAGCTTCCCCACTAGTTTCTCTCGTTTTTTTAACTACGGGGCTTTCCAAGAATCAGCTTCACAATCTCACTGCTACTCTTGAAGTAGCAGAAACTTAATGCATTCTTGCTACCAAAGTACATAGACCAAAGTCAGCAGAAGAGCCTTGAGTCTGTGGAATTTTAGGCATTCACTTTTGTGATGCTCACAAATCCTTAGGGCTTGGGGATATGGCTCGGTGGCAGAGCTTCCCTTGGCAAGCATGTACAAGGCCTTTCGTTTGCTCTCCAGCACTGAACCAAATAAACAACGGTGTTTCCAAATACAAATTACCATATTAATGTCATAGGTGTATGTATACATGTGATGGTGTCTTTAAAATAATTTTCTCTCTTAAGGATTTTGGGCTCGTGAAGTAGGCAAAATGATTGGACTAGAGCATCCTCTCATCCCTGTTCAACATCAATACGTCGTCACGTCAACCATACCGGAAGTGAAAGCTTTGAAACGAGAGCTCCCGGTACTCCGCGACCTGGAAGGATCCTACTACCTCCGACAGGAAAGGGACGGGCTCTTGTTTGGGCCATATGAAAGTCAGGAGAAGATGAAGCTTCAGGCCTCCTGGGTCACTCATGGAGTCCCTCCAGGTGGGTTCGGCAAATGAAGGGACAAAGGTCAGAGAAGATGGATCAACTCCCCGTGGCTGGGAGCCAGGTAGAGAACAAGACAGAACCTCAGTGTTACCCTTCAGGTGTCTGGGATGGCATGAGGGAGGGGTTGGAGGTGACTCTGTGAAGAGTAAGCAGACCCGAAGAAAGGGTTGAGGAGAGAAGCTGACACTAGAGATGGGGCTGCTGGCAAAGGCTCTCTGACCATGCCAACCGTCTGCCAAGTCCTTTCCCTCAATCTCCCTACTTGGTCTGGTTTCAAGATCTGAACACAGATTCGTGTGCTCTGACAGTTGTCCACACTGCAAGTGCCCAAGACAGGATCTCCAGCCTGCAAAGAATGCAGGCCAGAGTCCTCAACCAAGTTGAAACAGTGGGCAGAGGCCCTCCTGCATCTCACAAGTACGGGCGACTCAGAGCTCTGGGCTGCACCAATAGAGTTGTTCCATAGGCAAGGAGGGCCAGAGTTTTTTGTTTTCTTTTTCTTTTTTTTTCTTCTATGAGACATTTCCATGAAGCCAAATCAAGAATTGAGTTATCTAGGCAGACGCCCCTAGTTTAATTTTGGACATGTGTGTCCCTGTATGCAGGTGCATATATGTACAGATGTATGCACATGTGAAGCCCAGAGTGCATCCTTAGGTGTCATTCTCCAGACACAGTCTACATGTTATTTGTTGGAATAGGTCTCTCGTTGGCCAGGAACTCATCAGAAGTAGGCTGGATGGCCAGTGAGCCCCAGGAATTCACTCTGTCTCCACCTCCCTAGTGTTGGGGTTGCAAGTACACGCAGCCATGCCCAGCTTTCTCTCTCCCTCCCTCTCTCTCTCTCTCTCTCTCTCTCTCTCTCTCTCTCTTTCTCTCTCTCATCTATTTATCTAATCTATCTGTCTGTCTATCTATCTATCTATCTATCTATGCATGTATTTAATTTATTTAAAACATGGGCTCTGGGTTGAACTTAGGTCCTTGTACTCACAAGGCCAGCTCTTTTCTAGGCAGAGCCATCTCCCCAACCCTCTACTTTCAGCCTGAGAAAGGAGCTAAACTATGGTTTGGCTTGGGCACTGAAATATTTGAGGCAATGTGAAGAAACATAAGTGTATTTTCTGGAATTGTATGTTGACGAGCAGTTTGGGGCAGAGAACTTATCCTCCCTCCCATGTACCAGGAAAGGATTTCTAACCCACCTCGCCCTCTGCAGAGGCTGGTCCAGCAGCCAGAAGGTTTTGGTTTTGCTGAGTGGGCCCTGCACATCTGGGTCTGTGCAGAATCGATCCTGACTTCAGAGTGAGGGCTGAACTGCTAGGGAGGTTAGTATGGGGAGCGACTCTGTCCCCATCCTGCCCAAGCTGTGGCTTTTCTGCCAAATAAATGCAGAACAAATATTTAAATATTTAAATAATTCTAGCTGAAGGGAGAGTGGACTGTGTATTGTGCTTGACATGGGTGTCCACGTGACCCAGTGTAACAGTGCTCACTTGGAGGTTCCATACCTCTGCCCTGACCAGCAATTCTCAAGAAGGGCTGGGAGAACCTGGGTGGATGCTATGTGGATGAACGTCATGAAGTTTATCTGTGGTCATGCTTTTAGCCACAGTTGTAGCATGAGGGCCGGCTTGTTGGGGTTTCTGTCCCGCCCAGTACCCCACAGCCGGCAACTCCCAAGGAAAATCACTCACAAGACTCCATAAGATTATAAACTGATTGGCCCATTAGCTCAGTCTTCTTGTTAACTAATTCTTACATCTTTCGGTAACCCATAATTCTACTCTGTGTTAACCATATGGCTTGGTACCTCTTTCAGCTGTCAGCTCACATGTTGTTGCCTCTTCGGTGGTCTGCACAGGAATGGCTGAGGGAGCTTTTTCCTCCCTAACCTTATCCTATTCTCATTGCCCCGCCTCTACTTCCTGTCTGGTTGACCCGCCTATACTTCCTGCCTGGCCAATCAGTGTTTTATTAAAACACATGATTGACAGAATACAGATAATTCTCCCACACCACACAGTGACTTCTAGGACAAGCAGAAGGTAATCGTTGTGCAAGACTCACCTCTGCACACAGAGCTCAGACCTGCAGATGCACATGGGAGCTAGCTGCAGGATGGAGGCTGCCCAAGGAAAGGAACGTTCAAAATGCTCTTAAGTCCTCCATCCTGGATCCTGGAGCCATGGTCCTCATTCTCCAGGGTCCTGGAATACACTCCATTTGCTCTCCTTTTTATGTTAATTGAAAGATCAAAAAATTCAAAAACAAACAAACAGAAAAAAACTTCTGACAAACCAAACTATTAATAACAATTGCATCAAGTATTGGGGGTAAGCACCAAGCATAAATTTCAATTTCTATTTACTAAACAGGTGGCTTTGTTTTAGAAAGGAATAGCATTATTGTCCCCAAAGATATTTTGCGTACTGGCATGGGGATAGTGAGTGCCAAGTTTGGGCTTAATATCTTTTACATTGATATATATATATATATATACATATATATATGTATATATATATATATATATGTGTGTGTGTGTATGTGTGTGTGTGTGTGTGTGTGTGTATGTGGACATTTAAATGCCATAGCACATGTGTGGGGGTCAGAGAATGATTTTCAGGGGTCAGTTCTTTCCTAGAGAGTGAGCTCAGGATGTCAGGATTGGTGGCAAGTGCCTTTACCCTGAGTCATCTCGCTGGCCCTGAGTTTAGCATCTAAAGACAAAGGAATACCTGCCTTACAGGCACCTGTTGCAGAGATCGCGTTGCTTTGAGACCTTCTTGCACACAACATTCTGACCACAGAGGTCTGTCTCTCTAGGCTTTGGAAAAGAACTTTTTGAGTCTGACCTGGACCGGATCACGGACCACCTAGAAGCAGCCATGGAGATGATTCCTGTTTTGAAAAAGGCGGACATCATCAATATTGTCAATGGTCCCATCACCTACTCTCCCGACATCCTGCCTATGGTGGGGCCCCATCAGGGGGTCAGAAACTACTGGGTGGCCATAGGTTTTGGGTGAGTAGCACCCTGATGTTTGACATTTCTTGAAGAAGCACTTACTTTAGCGAAGCCCCACATCAAAGTATCAGGCCCTAGAATGGAAACGAAGAGCTGATAGAGGACGGGGAAGCGGTGGAGTGTGGAGTAAGGCAAGGGTGGAATTTTCTCCTTTTGATGGCCAAGGAATGAAGAGGAACTAAACACATAATGGGCTAAGCACTTATAAGATAAAGCTCAGTACGCAGAGGCAATCACCTTCTGAAACTCTCTTCACGTCTTTCCTGTCCTTCCATTCTTTGTGTCTCTTTTTATGCCATTGACTTCCAATGGGTCAATTTGCCCCAATCGGACAAGAATATTTTCATAACAGAATGTGACATATTCAAAGTATCAAATGGATAGAATGTCTTATGTGTTTACACTGTAATTCCTCTTTGTCTAACATGATTTACTTCCGTAGAACTTCCTCGGCCGCTTCCTACTTAAGATTCCACTCCTTGCCCGTGTTTCATTTCTAATATTTGTTCCATTAATATGCTGAATATTGATGTCAAACTCACTTCACCATCATATCACAGTTTCTAATATTCTAGTTTTCTTCTCTGTTCTATTTGGCTGTTTGTTCAGATCATCTTTAATGATTGCGGCTCTGTGCCGGGGCTCATGCTGCAAGTACCAATTGATGCCTTTGTGTTCTCCTTGGGAACTAACTTGGTGACAGTCAAGGCACAGCCATATTTCTAAAGGAGTGCAATTGTGGGGAGAGCATTTTGCTTTGTGCCGAATTCCTCTCACGTTTCTCAGAAGCAAAGTGCAGGCTGTGAAGTCACTATAGTTTGGGGGACGCCAGGGTTCTTTTATGAGGGTTTTTTAAATATGTGGGAATGGGGGGTCTCACAATTAAATATCAATTCCCTTGGTTCTCTCTCCACGACTCTCACCCCATCCAGTTTCTCAAAAGTTCCTTTTTATGTAACCACAGATAGACTCATGTTTAAAGACTTTGTTGGATAAGGACGGGCGGGTAGACCCACATAAAGCCTACCGGAAACTGTGATTCTGACATCATAACATGTGTAGTTTAAAGCATCCTTGGGTGGTTGGGACTGTAGCTCAGTTGATAGAGTTCCAGCTTAACATGCAAAAAGCCCTAGGTTTGATCCCCAGTGCCCTACAAGCCAGGTATAGTGCTATATCGCTGTGATCCCAGAGCTAGGAAGGGGGAGGATGGGAAGATCAGAAGTTCAAGGCCACCCTCAGCTAGATAGTCAGTCTGAGGCCAGCCTGGGTTACATGAGACCCAATGTATCTTCTTGTGGGAATGGGGACAGGCAGACCTTCCCCTCCAAGGGACCTGCTAGTTACAAATTGCAGAGGCCATGTCCCCTTCTGCCCTCTCCCACAAGCCCCCAATGAGTGCCTGCCCCCATTGGAGTGCTTCTAAGTACAAGATCCCCTGCCTAGAGGCCATCGCTTAAGAGAATCAGCACTACTCTGAGTTGGGAAGAGAGGGAGGGGCATCTCCCACAGAGTTTCCTATCAAAGGATAATCACAGTTCAGAAGGCAGGTGAGGGCCAACCAATCCACACTAAAGCCAGCGTAGTTACTAGCTGGCAGGCACAGGTATCCCTCAGGGTGGTATCCCTCTGGTATCCCTCAGGGTGGAACTGAGAAAACACACCAGCAGTCAAGTCAGGTGCCTTCATTTGCATACCAGACCAAGCACTGATATGTTTTTAAGGGAAAAAATGTACAGCATAAAGATTATATTACTTGTGTGTTTTCCCCGGCCTCGGTGACTCCAACTTTGATGGCCTGAAATCTGTTTGAGCATGCTTTACCCATTCGGATGTACCTCATTTGTAACATGCCACCAACCTTTGTCGCCAAAAGCTATGGCATAATCCACGCTGGCGGGGTAGGGAAGTTCCTCAGTGACTGGATCCTGCACGGAGAACCCCCTTTTGACCTGATAGAACTGGATCCCAATCGCTATGGCAAATGGACGACGACCCAGTACACCGAGGCCAAAGCCAGAGAATCGTACGGGTTCAACAACATTGGTGAAGTACTAACTTTCTGACATCTAGAAAGATCTCTAGGTTTACCCCCTGCTTTGTGCCCTGGGGGTGGCGAGGACCTGTGGGCAGCCCTGTGCTTTAAGCCACAACAAGGGATGTGTGTGACTAAATAGAGCTAATGAGCGGATACATTACTGATTTTAAGTTTTGAGTGTATTTTTACTTTACCCTTTGATGATCGGTATAAGCGACATCTTTTAGAAAAAACATATGTATGCTTTGGATTGTAAGTTCTATCGTCTCCATTTTGAAGTCCCTTTGGTACATTGTGTCATTTCTGTGACAAGCTGTTAGAGCACCCATGTTCTCTTCACAGTCGGTTATCCTAAAGAAGAGCGGTTTGCGGGGAGGCCGACCCAGAGGGTCAGTGGGCTCTACAAGATCCTGCAGTCCAAGTGCTCCATGGGTTTCCATGCAGGCTGGGAACAGCCACACTGGTTCTACAAACCTGGCCAGGACACTCAGTATCGGTAAGAGAACGTCTTAGTGGCCTGTGATCTGACCAAGGGCTTCCATGGCAGGGTAGAGTGGGAGGACAGCAGGGCAGAGCGGGAGGACGGCAGGGCAGAGTGGGAGGATGACAGAGTGGGAGGACGGCGGGGCAGAGTGGGAGGATGGCAGAGCGGGAGGACAGCAGGGCAGAGTGGGAGGACAGCATAGCAGGAGGACAGCAGGGTGGGAGGACAGCAGGGCAGGAGGATGACAGAGCAGGAGGATGGCAGAACAGAGTGGGAGGACAGCAGGGCAGAGCGGGAGGATGGCGGGGCAGAGTGGGAGGATGGCAGAGCAGGAGGACGGCAGGGCAGAGTGGGAGGACAGCGTAGCAGGAGGACAGCAGGGCAGGAGGATGACAGAGCGGGAGGACGGCAGAGCAGAGTGGGAGGACAGCATAGCAGAGCGGGAGGACAGCAGAGCAGAGCGGGAGGACGGAAGGAAGAGCAGAGTGGGAGGATGGCAGAGCAGAGCAGGAGGACGGCAGAGCAGAGCAGGAGGATGGAAGGAAGAGCAGAGCGGGAGGATGGCAGAGCAGAGCGGGAGGACGGCAGAGCAGAGTGGGAGGATGACAGAGCAGAGCAGGAGGACAGCAGGGCAGGAGGACAGGAGGGCACAGGTTCTTTCTTCTGTCATCACCGTGTGTCGCCCTCAGGGGAGCACTGAGCTCACTCGGGTGTCTCTGACCTGCTTGTGGTGGCGGCACTTATTAAGCCAGTCCAGGAGACACTGGTCAGTCAACGAAGACTCTTTTACTGGCAGTTGCCAGAACCTCAGAGGACCTTTCCTCGTCCCCATACAGTTACTGACATGGCTCTGATTGACAGCAGAAGATTTGTCGTGACTTAGGTTCAAATACCACATGGAAAGAACCCACAGCTCTGGGTCACGAAACAACCAAGGGTACCTGCATTTTGGGTTAAACTAAAATACCCAACCTGCCCTCAGCACAGGCCTCTGAGCTCCTGTGAAGTGCTGCACGTCATTGCTGGACGCGGGGTTAACGGTGCTTATTTTCCCCCATGAGAACCCATAAACTAAGGAAAACTGAATAGCATGTCTAGAAGAGAGCTTACAGTTTCTGTCCCCGTCAGACGGTTCTTTTGCTGCTCTCACCAGGGCTTGGGGCTGGAAAGAAGGAAGTCTGATGGTAAAGCACTTCCTACAAAAATGCCAGGGCTTGACCTGCCCCCCAGTACCCATGTAGAAAAGTCGGGTGAAGGGGCACATGCTTGTACTCCCAGCACTGAGGGATGGAGACAGGTCTCTGGGTCTTGCTGGGCAATCAGCCTGCCCATTGGCAAACTCCAGGCTGGTGAGAGAGCTTGTCTTGGTAATAAAATAAGGTGGATGGCTCTGGGGATATGGCACCTGGGATTGTCCTGTGGCCTCAACATGAACATATGTGCACATGCACCCATGCATGAACATGTATGCACAAGAAACAACAGGTTTTGATGTTTACTTTAGATTCAGGTGAGTGGTGTGATACACTCAGAATGAATGAGTGTATTCCGCTCTAGGAGCAGCTGACCTAGCATGTTTGGGGGCCAGATACTTGGCTTGGTTTTCCAGAAATGACTCAGATAAATACTAGCTTTGTTTCATTTTGCGAGATTTAGATCTGGCTTCATTTTTTTTTTTTAATTTTAATAGTTAAGCTACTGGAAAATCCTGCAGACTTAGCATGGTGCTCTGAAGTGAAAAACAGCATGTTGGAAGTTTGCTTAAGTGGAAAGGACCTTTTGAAATGAATTCAGAGACCTTTGCTTTAGACCCAGCTCTGTCATTAGCTGCTGCAAAAGACCTAGAAGTCACTCTGTACCTTTTCTCTAGAAAATGAAGGTGCTAGGCTAGACCATTGCTTAACTCAGGCATGGACACTCCCTGCAACCCGCCACAATGCCCAGTCCCTTTTAACAAGAGAAAGTGACTTGCATTTCATGGTTCTGAAGATAGTGCTGGCTAAACAACTGCATATGAGCGTGCACGGGAATATATACATGGCATATACATACATGTGCACACACAGAGACATACGCCCATGCACAGACATGTGTTCAACATCCAAACACACATGGGTATACACACACCCTCCATTCTGATTTAATGAGGCTTAACAATTGGTATTTGAAAAATGTTCCCCAGATGATTCTAGCAAGCAGGGTTCAAAACCCTTGGACTGTTGCCTTGTTCACTGCCCTTCAGACCAGAGCACTCAAGAGTTCTGTCCTGTTTTTCTCACTAATTAACACCCATTCACTATAAAATGAGTGGAACACACAGATAAGTAAACTATAAAAGGTCAGATTCCAACATATGTATATAATTTACAGAACAGATTGGAGGGTACACATCTTCCAGCCCCGTAGGCTTTTCTAGATGGGGGTGGGGGTGATTGAAATATTCTTATTCTAAAATTCTTGGATCATGGATGACAGTTGTCTTAAACAGTAAATCTCACATTTCAGGCCAAGTTTCCGCCGCACAAACTGGTTTGAGCCAGTGGGCTCTGAGTACAAACAGGTTATGCAAAGAGTTGGTGTAATTGACCTGTCTCCGTTTGGCAAGTTCAACATCAAAGGCCAAGATTCCACCCGACTTCTGGACCATCTCTTTGCAAATGTCATTCCTCAGGTAAATAGACAAGGTCCAGGATTCTGACCTGGTCCTTCCAAAATAACAAACAAAAACCCAAACCCACCCTTCTTCGATTTCACTTCTTCTGAGTTGAAGGCTAGAACGCTTCAACTGACCGAGAGCACGCAAGCTGATTCTCAGCAGCCATTTCTGCTGAGAAAATTGTAGTCTAGGAAACTAACGGCTTCATTAACGTGCCAATGAGATCCTAAAAGTTGACTGCAGTTAAATGGATGTGGAGGCTTTTAAATTACTATGCTTGTTTATCTACATGCATCACACATGTAGCAGTCAGAGGACAACTTGCAGGTGTCTCTTCACCCATGGGGTCCAGGGACTGAATTTAGGGTGTCAGCGTTGGCCGAAACTGCCCTTCCCCAGGGTCATCTTTCCAGCCCCAAAGTGCAATTTCTAGAACAAATAATCTTTGTATGATTGTTTAAAATGGAAAATGTAAATGAACCTTTGGTTTGGTTCACACACTTGACACAGGTGAGAGGTGGTGGCTTCTCACGGTCCACACATTCTACATGTGTGTTAAGCTGTTTCGTTCACCCTAACATGATTTTCAATCCTTTGGCGCAGGTGGGCTTTACAAACATAAGTCACATGCTGACACCCAAAGGCCGAGTGTATGCCGAGTTTACCATTTCCCACCAGTCCCCGGGCGAGTTCCTGTTAGTTACCGGTTCTGGGTCGGAGCTCCACGATCTTAGGTAAATACACACCAGGAAAAAAATGTTGAGTGGGTGATACACTGACTCAATCTCACAAGAGCATTGCTGGTGCTGGCTCATTCTAGTTTCCTTTCTGCGACCAAAAGCAATTTAGAGAAGAAAGGTGTTAGTTAGTTCAGTTTGCGATGTCAGGTGACAGGCCATCGTTGTGGGGAAGTCAGGGCAGGAACAGGCGCTTCAGACAGCTAGCCCTATTACATCTGCAGTCGAGAGCAGGGAGAAGGGAATGCATGCATGGCCACTTGCTGGCCCTCAACTCCGTTTTTCCACTCCCAGACAGTTTAGGACCCCTGCCTGGGTAATGAGGCTGTCATCAAGGGATGACTCTTTTTACATCATTTAACTTAATTAAGACAATGCCCCGCAGACACACCCACAGGCCAGCATTCCCCACTGAGACTCTTGCCCAGATGACTCTAGATTGTATCAAGCTGACAATTAAAGTGCTCATTATGCTGTGTGTGTTTGTGTGTGTGTGTGTGAGTATGTGTGTGTGTGTGTGCTTGGAGATGCCTGAAGAGGCCAGAATAGGGCGTCAGAGCCCCTGGATCTGAAGTTATGGGTGGCTGTGAACCAATCATACCCGAGCTCTCTGCAAGAGCATCTGCTCTCTTACAGCCCCCAACTTCAATTCTCAAACCTCATCAGTGTGAACAAACCTCACCTGTTCTGTAGGAGTAGTTGAAGTAAAGTTCCCGCCCACTCCACAAGGTTGCCTGCCCAGTGGTTTTTCTGGTTCTGACAATACTGACTCTAATTTACTGAGCATCATCAATGGGCCACCACTCCTTTCAGACCTCAATTAATTCTCTTAAGATTTTGCAGGGGCTGGGGAGATGGCTCCAAAGGTAGAGTGCATCCTTCACAAGCACAAGAGCTGGAGTTTAGACTCCCAGCAGCCATATAATGGCAGATAGGCACGGTGGCTTGCAGGTAATCCCAGCACTTAGGAGGCAGAGACAGGACATGTGCAGAGCAAGCTGGCTAGCTAGATTGTCTGAGCAGTCAACCTTCGGGTTCAGGTGAGAGGTTCCACCTCAAAATATAAGGTGGAGTGCCATCAAGGAAGTTACTCACTGTCAACCTTTGGTCTCGACACATGCATGTGCATGCATGCCCATACACATGCAACATGAAACATGTATGCATGCACACACATCACACACACACACACACACATGCATGTACCCAATAAAAAGTTTTTGCAAAGGAAGCATTATCCTCATTTTCAGATGGGGAAACAGGTGTGGGTTAAAATCACCTGCCCAAGTCTGCAGGACTGATTAAGGTGCTACGCCGGGCTCACTTCAGTCAGATGTCACTTAGTTATGGCTCCCGCTGTGGGACCCAGTGCACACTGCCTCACAACTAGATTGCCTGTAAAGTTTCTGTCTTCAGTTCAACATCCCAAAAGTACGTGGGATGTTATTGCCAAATCAAGGTCTGACTCAGAGTCTCCCGTAGTTGCAGAATGATGAAAGTCTGCTGATCGGGTGCGAGGGGTGTGGGGGTCACCTTACTCACCGAAGCCTCCCCTAGTCTAGACGGACACTGTGATAGACTCCCAGGGCTCTGGGGACGGCTCAATAAATTACAGAGGGGCCAGAGAACTGCCTTCCAAAACCTCATCAAGACTTAGAAATTGAGACTGGAGTTTTCTTCTTTCTCTGTGATTGTCAGAGCAATTATGTGTCTGGTGGCAGGCACATTATTAATGGCTAGCAGCACAAGTGTGCATCTTGGGTGCAGGCATCGAAGCAAACTCGGTTTAAATTAATTTTTGAAGATGGAACCATTAGTTTAAATGCAACAGAACCATCACTATTTATAACCGTGGCAAAGCTCATTTAAACTGGATGATTCTTGGTTACCTGGAAAATTCCCTCCCAAGTCTTAAGTGAGCAATTTAAAGAGAATCTCTTTACCTCTCAGGGACTCGGTTTTGGCAACTTTCAAAGTAAGATGGCTACATGCCATGACCCTCTAGGGACTTTCTGATAATTCTTGACTTGAAGCAAGTCTTTAGAGACATAATATGTTAGAAGCATGCATTATTCAAGCGACGCTTATGCAGTTCTTATGACCCCAATGCAGATGGATTGAAGAAGCAGCTGTCAGAGGTGGATATAATGTTGAAATTCAAAACATAACTGATGAGCTTGGGGTCCTGGGAGTGGCAGGGCCATATGCAAGACGAGTCCTTCAGAAACTGACCTCAGAAGATCTCAGCAATGATGCTTTCAAGTTTCTTCAAACCAAGTCTTTAAAGATGTCTGACATTCCTGTCACTGCTATCAGGATCTCTTATACGGGTAAGAACTGGGAAACAGCCTAAAGTAAGAAAAGGCTGCCAGAAATGACACACACACACACACACACTCAGACAGTTGCACCCTCACAATGCATGCTTGCACACACGCTCACACATCCCTGCACGCACAGCCACACCCTCACAATGCATGCTGACTCACGCTCATGTGTTCACACATACCCCCACTGTCACACCTTTCAATGCACACACTCACCTGCACACACACTCACGCTCACCTTCCCACGTTATTACACTCACATGCTCACTCACACATACACTTATACTCACACACAAACATGCATGCATTAACACCTCCCCCCCCACACACACACTTTCTCTGATTTTGAAGAACGATTTCTTCTGCCCAGCTCTAAGACAAGAAGTCTGTCCGGTCGCCTTCCTCTCACAGGCTCCCCCCCATTTCTAGGTGCTTCCCTTTGGAATGGTAGACAAGCAAAGAGCAGAGTACAGCCGTTGGACTAGCTGGAAGACCCCAGTCAGGAGACCGTATGGGAATGCTCACAGTGTGGCTTCCTGCCTGATGTGACTGTGGCAAGCTTTCCACTGGTCCTGTGGTCCTCGGCCTCCTCAATGCTGTGACCCATTAATGCAGCTCCTCATGTTGTGGTGACCTCCCCAGCCATAAAGTTATTTTTGTTGTGACTTCATAACTGTACTTTTGCTACTGTTACAAATCATAATGTAAATATCTGTATTTTCTGATGGCCTTAGGCCACCCCTGTGAAAGGGTTGTTTGACCCCCAAAGGGGCCGAGGCCCACAGGTTGAGAACCACTGCACTAGAGCATGGCCCCCCCAGCAATCTTCCCTCCCAGTCGTGTGGTCCCTGGGAGACCTGCGGCCAGCCTGGCACAGAGTAGGCATTCGGTGCCGGAGGCTCTTCATTACCCCGTGACGCTCAGGCTTACCCCCTCCCACCCCTGTGTCCCCTTACTGAAGGAGCGCTGGGTGCCCAGGTATTCACTTTAGCTCGGTAATGCTCCTGCTCGGGTGGCGTCCTGGCGGAGCTATCGACCTGTGACAGGCTCACTGTTAACGTCACAGTCTCTCGGACCTCCGTTCTAATTTTCCCAACCTTGGCAAAAAGGGCAACTCTGATTGAAAAATAAGGAGCCTTTGGGTTGTAATGTTCTTTCCTTTGGTTTTCTAGCACCTAGCTCTAATGGTGAACAAAAGGATCAGGTAGGAGAGAGGCTAAGAAGCAAAGCAAGTTAAAGACTTGCTGGCTATCCACGAGAACGAAATGAATAATTTCACATTCTTTACATGTTTTAGGCTGTGACTCAACAGGAGTGTCTAAACCGTAAACTCTGTTAGCTTTTACTTTTGTGTATGTGAACATGTGAATGAATTGTGGGGTCGACATGCGTACATGTGGGACCAGAGATCCACCTTGGGGGTTACCTTGTTTTCTGAGACAAGACTTCTCACAGGCTAATGGGCCAGCCAGAGTGCCCACTTCCCCAGCACACAGGGTGATTGACAAGAACCAGTGTTTTCCTTCCGATGTGTGGGTCTCAGGAATCAAACTCGGATCATCAGGCTTGGCAGCAGACATCTTTGCCCACTGAGCCCTTGTGTGACCCCCATCCCATCCCATCCTGCACCTTTTTTAAGACGTGCTTTCTGGGATCATGCTTAAATACATAGTACGTGACTGTCTGAACTGGCCCCTCGCCCTCTTTAAAGCTTTCAGTTAGCTTTGTTTTTGGATAGTGTTTCCGTAGCCCAGGTTAGCCCTGTGCTCAGAATCCTCCTTCCTCAGTTTTCTGAGTGTAGGCATCGCAGATGTCTTTCCTGTATCCAGCTGAACGCTTGAAAACATGTGCTGGTTGTTAACCTACTATCCTTGCCCTGGAAATGGTCGAGGCTCAGGATGAAGCCAAGGTCCAGGGTGGGAAGTTAGTCCTGACTAGAGTCCTTCTGCCTCTGAAGAGAAGTCATCCAGCACCCGCCCTCCGTGTAGGAGCAGGGACTACACACAAATGACCCGTGAGATGACCGGCTCCTTGTGAACCGGTCTTCTAAAAACTGGCAAAGGCCATCATGCGAGCAGGCTTTATCCTGAGCGTGTTGGCTAACACACATGAGTGCTCACCCTGCAGGCACGGCTCTCAGTGCTGAGTGGACTCTGTTCGTGCATTTCAGGTGAGCTGGGATGGGAGCTGTACCACCGAAGAGAAGACTCTGCAGCCCTGTATGAGCTCATCATGAATGCGGGCCAGCAGGAGGGCATTGACAATTTTGGAACATATGCCCTGAACGCCTTAAGACTGGAGAAAGCTTTCCGAGCGTGGGGCTCAGAGGTTTGAATACCAGCACCCTCATTAAGACCTTATATCTATTTATCTATTGTTTGTTGGGTACAAGTCTAACAGTATTGTCAATTCTGGCTGTAAGAGAAATCAAACACTATTAGGTGACTTTGATTAGGGAAAGAGGCCTCCTCTATTTACCATGAACATTGACTGGGTTCTGGAATCATGTTTATTCTGCCTTAACCCCCTCCAAACATTTTCTTTCTTCCTTCCTTTCTAGACAGGGTTTCTCTGTGTAGCCTGAGCCGTCCTGGAACTAGCTCTTGCAGACCAGGCTGGCCTCAAACTCACCGAGATCCGCCTGCCTCTGCCTCCCGAGTGCTGGGACTAAAGGCCCCCAGGTATTTTCTAACAAGCACACCCCAGAGGATTCGAGCATCTCCATTCATCTCTCTCCTTCTCCTCTTCTCCACATATCTCTTTCTTCTCATACTACAACCTTGGTTGAAATAATGTTCTTTTTTTTTCCCTCCTGCGGGATGGGGACAAGGACCCCGTATGTGTTGGTCTAGTCTTTCCCCACCTGTAATAGTGGTAAGCAAGATTTTCTGGTTGTAGAACGCTTAACCATTTATGCAACATTTTTATTTATGTGCATTTGGTTTACCTAGCTGCTGCCCGGTCCCTTCTATGTTGTTGTAATAAAATGCCCCGACACAAGCAAATTCAGGGAGAAGGGGTTAGTTCAGTCCTCAGTTCCAGTTCTTCAGAGTGGGGACGTCACAGGGGCAGTCGCTTGAGGGAGCTGGTCACAACACTTCCATAACCGCAATGACTGCATGTCTGCGTACAGCTGCTGGGCTGGCTTTCTGCTTTTTAACCAGCTCAGGGTCCCGGTGCAGGGAATGCAGTGTTCTCAATGACGATGCGTCTTCCCACACCAATTGTAATCAAGATCCACTACAGGCACACACAGAAGCCTTTGTCCCACGCCTCTGACGTTTAACCATCAACCTTCGCAGCTGTCCAAGAACGAACTGTTACCAGGATTCTTATTTTGCATCCAAACGCGCTGGAATCCTTGAGTCACCGCAGTCCAGATTCCTGATCCCGGTCCTAGTCACCTATTTTTATTTCCTAGTGGGAGAACCAAACCCCTAACATTTTCAGAGAACTGCTCTCTTGGAAAACACTGAGGCTCTAGGGGCCGTGGAAAAGATGAGCTTCGGAGTGGGGACTCTGGGGTTTAGCTTTATCTTCTACAGCCTGCATACTTACAAGCTCATTCGGTGACCGAATCTCTCGGATATTCTGCTCTTCAGTAAAATTGAGTATTTATCCTAAAGAATTAACACAGACAGATGGTTTTTAAAGAGTCGAATAAACACACTATACCATTAATTTCTAATTTAACGTGAAAGCTCAGGTCTTGGGCCTTAGAAGGGAGCTTGGAGGAAGCTAGTTCCTGCCTGCTTCAGGGCACAGTCTACAGCCAGGACTTAGGTGAGGTCAGCGCCCTCAGAAAAACAGGGCAGCTTTGTCTCCGTGGTCTCCCCAAAAAAGTGCAGAGAGGCGTTCCGCTGAGAGTTAGGCGTAGCTGTATTCTGTTGTTGACGTTTCTGGTGTTTGCTTTTTTTTTTTTCCTGCCCTCTCCCACCGCGCTCGGGTTTAGGACCGGTTTCCCAACAGTGCCAGAGCGCCCTCTAGTGTTGAAAAAGCGACGAAGCCTCTCTGTTTTTCTGAAAAGAATTCTTCAAGTTTGAGCAAACTGAAAAATAATTTCAGAGTAATTCAAATTGATTTAAGAAATATGAGAACAATTTTACGTGGTGTAAAGTAGTCTTGTGTTTATATAGTTTGTGTAAGTACTGTGTTGACTCTTTGGGAGGTTAGAGCAGGGAGTTCCCGTTGCCATAGGAGAACAAAGCAGGCTGATTTCTATAATTCTTCATTATTAACTGAATAATGCGTGGTATTCTGTTTGTTTCCATTTCTATATATTTAACAGTTTCTACTGAGTTTAACCACTTTCATCTTTCCTTAGTCTTCATCATATAAATTTTAATCTTATAAAATTTTGAGAAGGCAAAAAAAAAATCTTTGAAGACAAAACAGAGACAAAAATCTCACATGACTTTATTCAAGTTTAGCACCAAATATCAGCTTCCCTCTGCATCAATGCATCCTATCGTGTATCATGATGCGACCACTTTTGAGATGCAACCCCACTTTCCCTTCTTCTTCTCTGAACTCTGTAAAGGCCAGCGTTCTGCCATCAATTTTTCTCTCCTCACTCCCATTCATGGCTAATTACAAGGTAAGCAAAGTTATTTAAAGACTTTAGAAAACATAATTATGTAAAATTATCACACAATACACGGGAGATTCTTGTTTGTGGAATGCCATGTGCTAGCCTTCAAATATTTATTAAAAGAGCAGAGGCCAGAGAGATGGCTCAGGGGTTGACAGCAGTAACAACTTGTACCGCTCTTGCAGAGGACTCAAGGTCAGTTCCCAGCATCCTCCTGGGGCAGCCCACAACCTTGCATTATTCCAGGTCTGGGACTGGGAACCCAGTGTCTCAGTTCTCCAAGGACACTTGCCTGCACCCAGCCACACCCAGCCACAGACATGTGCACATAATAAAAATTAATTAATTAACATCTTTAACATAAAAGAGCAGTGGAAATAAATCCCAGCTTTCAGTTTCTGTGTGTGCTATATTTAAATGACATTTGCCAAAGACTTCATTTGAATTTTGAAAGAAAATACTGCCCTGGAGACTAGTCCGTAATTAGTCTCTTTAAGAATCTTTACTCAAGGGGCTGGAGAAATGGCTCAGCGGTTAAGATCATTGCCTGCTCTTTCAAAGGTCCTGAGTTCAATTCCCGACAACCACATGGTGGCTCACAACCATCTGTAATGAGGTCTGGCCTGCAGACATACACACAGACAGAATATTGTATACATAATAAATAATAAAAAAGAATCTTTACTCAAAAATCACAAAGCGCTTTTGCTCCAAGGAAAGAACACTTTTAGAGACTGTTGCCGCTCGAATCAGCTGTGTACATCGGTTCAGGGTGGAACTCGATGTTTGCCACTGTTTGGTGAATGCAGGCAGTGGGTTTGCTTCTCCATTTTTCTGTTCTCTTTGTAGTAATGGGGAATTTGTCTACCCCTCACCCCTACCCAAAATGTGCTAAGTCTGCTGGGGGGGGGGTGGCACACCCCTTTAATCCTCCACGCTGAAGGCAGAGGCAGGCAGATCTTGGTGAAGTGCCAAACCCTTTCATGGCGGCACAGTTCTGATGTGAACATGCTCATCCAAGATTTGAACCATGTTTTCTTTGCAGATGAACTGTGATACAAACCCCTTGGAAGCTGGACTGGACTATTTTATCAAGCTGAATAAGGTGTGTTTATGTTCTCAAATGTGTATGAAATAAATCATAAAATGGTGGCAGTGTTTTATGCTGGAGACATGCTTTAAAATTAAACCAATGTGAGTATAAGAAAAAAAATCAGTTGAACATAAATACTAAGCACTGCTTAATTTCTCTGTATGAGCTGTCTGTCATAATTTAACTAGTACAATCTGTGTTAGTGCACTTAGAGCAGTGGTTCTCAGCCTGTGGGTTGCAACCCCTTTGGGGTCACACATCAGATACCCTGCAAAGCATATGTTTACATTACAATTCGTAACAGCAGCAAAATTACAGTTGCGAAGTAGCAATGAAATAATTTTATGGGGGTCACTACAGCATGAGTCACTGTATTAAAGGGTCGTAGCATCAGGAAGGTTGAGAACCGCTGACTTAGAGATTTAGGATAGCAGAATCCAGGGTTAAGACAAAACCCAAGATGAAAGGTCGTAAAAATCACTGGGTGGTGGTGAACACCTTTAATTCTAGCAATTGGGAGACAGAGGCAGGCAATGTCTGTGAGTTCGATTATAATCAGTTGGATTTCAACAGGCATCTTTACAGAAATTGTGCTATGTGTGTATCAACCACTTCTGGCATCTAGTGAGGCTGTACCTCAGCTAACCGAGAGGACCAAGCAGACTGGTCATTGACTCTCCTTGGATGTTCAAAGGGTAAATTAGCGGTCTTGCCACATTGGATTAAGCAAGTGCTTTTGAAGCAGTCTGTATCTAATGATAACATCTAAATACAAACAAAGGATGTCTTTCTGTCACGCCCAGTATGAAATGGGAGGAGCCAACACAGGCCCAAAGAATCATTATTGAAATCGATGTGCCAAAGAGATACTCCACACCCGTGGTCCTCAGGCTGCCGGCCTCAGCCACATCTGGGAGCGTGTTAGAAATGCCAATTCCCAGGTCCAATCCTAGACCTACTAAAAGCAGAATATCTGGGAGCTAGGCCAACAAAGCTGTGGTTTAATAAGCCCTACAGGGGTTCCTAGGAATTGAGAAACTATGCTACATTATTACTGTGAAAATTCATATCATAGGAGGCCGATTTAGTATGGCCCTACTCATTGGGGCCAGTCCTACACATGCAAATGAAGTTATGTTATTGACGGGGTTGGGGGGGAGGACTTGCAGCCGTCGACAGTGTTCAAGCTTAGGAGCAACAGCCGCTCAGAGGGTATTTGTCGGATTCCCCAAATACACTATCGTGTTTCAGCCTCTAGGCTGGCTTTCCCTCCTGTGGGAATATGCAAACGTCTGTCTATACACCAGGCTATGGGAATTTTTTTTTTCCGCTTTGTATCAGTTCCCAAATTCTCAGCTAAGGTATTAACAGGAAACGTGTGTGTTTGTAGCGCCGAATTTTAGGAGCAAGGACTCCATGAAGAGTTCTTAAAGGAACCCATCGTCTCTGTGCATTTTCCTGGCTTTTATTTTTATGACGCTCCATCTGTCTCTCGACGAGAGAAAGCAGGTGCTTGGAGCTGGGGCCGCTCCTAGCAGCAGATTGCTCCTGGCGGTGACAGAAGTCTGTGTTTGGCTGTTTGAAAGAAAGATAAAAATGCCCGACTCCTTGAAGTACCCAGCTCTGTGCTGCTGGCCCTGATGGGTGGAGGGAGAATCAGTTCTTCAGCCTACGTGTTTTGGAGGTATTGTGGGAAGAAGGCCTAGCTGAGTGATGTCTTCATGTTGAAAGTGGAAACTTTAGGTGCTTTTTCTGGTGATCAGCAAGTGCACCCAGGAATTTTTTTAGCTCTTTCAAATGATATAATCGAACAAACAAAGCTGAGCTCCAAAGTAAATTGTTTAATAGATACTAATTTTGATGGATAATGTGCTTTTTTTTGATACTGAATTGTTGATGCTTAGTCAGGTGTCAAAGAGTTTGTCCTTAATGACTGTGTTGGGTTAACATTCCCGAAGCCCAATTGAGCTGGGTCTTTCCCATTGTGGGATGGATGCAGACAGTTGGTTGCCTACAACCTCATGGTAGAGGTACAGGCTAATCTCTCAGGCAAATGCCGGGGTCCTGAGGTCCTCCCCGGGGTGGGGGCTCACAGCTTTGTCACAGCTTTGCGGCAGTCTACAGTGAGAGACAGCTTCCTGGAAACCAAATATTGTAACTTGTTAAGTCAAGTCCTGGGCCTAAGAACCAAAAACATTATTCAGACATTTAACATACAGAGAGAGGATGCCTATGAAGCCCTTCAGATGGTGTTCTGTAACACTTAAGAGGATAATAATACCCAAATCCACATTGCTTTGGGAAAGGAGTGTCTGGCAGAGACTGAAGTGGAGACAGGGCAATGTTTGTTTTTGATAAGGAAACAAAGCTAGCAAAACAAAAAAATTGAAAATTTTATTGAAATAATTTCTTCCTTTTCTTTACCTCCAAAGCAAATAGAATCCTCTGCTAGATTTGTAAACATCTATCCCGTGACAGTGACCGTAGTGAGACGGGCAGGTGACTGTCTGAGCTAGGGGTAGGCGATGGGGAGCACCAGGCGCTTCCTCTGTCTCTGAGGGTGGAAGCAAATCACACGGAGATGATGCCACCCGAGGAAGGGCGTTTCTTTAGCCCAGGGAAGCTCGGTGTGGAGCACCTGTCTTTCCCTTTCATATGGCATCAGGGGACCTGAAAATCTGCCCAGGTTTGTCCCCCGCTCCTTCTGACATATGTTATGGTTTACAGAGACTCTCTTATAAACGGAAACTGTCCTCAGGCATGTTTTTGTTATAACAACTTTTTCCTCCTAGCATAGGGTGAGATGACTGCACACCCGTTTTAAGGAGCAAAGCAGGTTGGGGTGGGGGATGGGAGCAATCATCAGGCTTTGTTAAGTGAACCGTGTTCTTGTCCAAACCACTGAGGAGGTAGAGAGAGAGAAAATGGAAAATAGGAATCTTCCATTACTAGCTCAGCTCCTTCCCTGGCACTGGCTTACGAGAAACACACACCCACCCCACATTCACACACACAGACACAGACACAGACATCATACAATCACCAAACACACATGCACATATACCACACCTCATACACACATACACAGACACACACGTACCACACATACACAGACGCAGATACACACACTACACACACAGACACACCACACACACACACACACATGCACACCACATATACACACACGCACATATACCACACCTCATACACACATACACAGACACACACATGCCACATATACACAGACACACACACATCATAAATCACCATACACACATGCACATATACCACACCTCATACACACATACACAGACACACACGTACCACACATACACAGACGCAGATACACACACTACACACACAGACACACCACACACACACACACACACACACACACAACTCCGCGGTGGTGAGTTGCAGTTCACAGTATTGGTCTCCGCAGTGGTGAGTTGCAGCATCCACTGTGATAGTCGATCATGTGCTCAATGTGGTGTCATTGATTGGTCGGCTGAAGTAGTCACTTTTGTGGTCACTGTGGTGGTCACTTGTAGCAATCACTGTGATAGTCAATCAAAGTGGTCGTTGAGTCACATTCTCTCACATACATACACACACACACACACACACACACACACGCACGCACACCTACATATCCAAACACACATAGACACACAGTGCACACACACATGTCCAAACACACATGGATACACACGTGCATACATACATGTCCAAACACACACACAGGCACACATAGTCACACACATTCACAGACATACACACATATTTATGAACACGCACTCATCCACACTCACTCATCTACACTCAAATGCATAAACACATATAGGCACATACATCTACACACATATTACACACATCATACACACTAACACACAGATGTACACATATGCATGCATTCACACACATGCACATATCACACACATATCACTCACACCTTCAAACACGTATTCACAAAAATATGTACACTTAATCACATATTTGTACATGTGCACACTCAAAAACATGCACTCACAATACCCTTACACACAATTACACATGTACACATTCACATATACTCCCCACTTACATACACTCAAACACATGTGAACACTCAAACACACACATACACATTCACAACTCATCCATATGCACATTCAAGAACACACACATTCTTACTCACACACATGCACATGCATGCTCAAACACACACATACATACACGAAAAAACAAATGCACAACTTTCAAACACACTCATATATGTACACACACATACCACACACACATATGCACACACACTCACACATATACACACTCACACACATAGACATTTACACACGTGCACACCCATACACATGCACACTCACATGTACATACCCACATACTCACACAAGCACACACACACATGCACACATTCATTTAGCCAACATTTATTGAATACCCTTATATTTCTTGCTAAACCACTGGCTAAAGAAACACTTCTGATGCCTCTCAGAACCCAAGAAACTGAATTTTCGAGGAAGTAAGGCTGCAGGACGAGTTCTTAGCCTCCATTCTGGAAACACATCTGCAGGAGGAGGGGCTTGCCACGGTGCACAACACTGCCACCTTGTGGAAGTGAGCAGTAGAACCCCAAAGGAAGAATTTCAAACCCACAAAATAGGTTAACCCAATCAGAAATTTGCTTTTTAAAATCTAATTAAACCTCCTCTAAAAATAAGTCTTACCATTGTTTTCCGTGGTATTTTGAGTCATTCCAAAAGAAGTTTATGTGGGGAAAAAATCGGCGGCGTTTGATTAGCATCAGAAATGGAACAATGTATTATTCTAATCACGAGCAAAGGGAACGCGGTTGCTTCAGGATGCCACAGGCATTTGGGGAATTTCTCTCCTGCGATTTCTAGAGTCAGAGAGAGTTACGTACCAAGAAGAACGTGCTTAGGTAGAGCAGATTTTTCTTAAACATTTATCCCCCTACCCCATGAAGGTCCATTCTCCACCCTACTTGAATTAAAATA